AAATTTAACGTTCTGTACTTACTAGGATGCGTATAAATTTGTATTGCTTTTAATATATTGATATCGTGAAAAAGAGAAATAATTTCGACATATAATGTAGAATAATATTTCAAAATATATATTATTATATTAATAATATTATTATATTATATCGATACTTCTATATACACATGTATAAAAACTGGTATCTCACCGGAAATTTTCTAGGCGCTCTTTAATAAACAAACCGGGCTCTATCGGAAATAACTGATTTAGACGGTCGCGTCTTAGGAGGAACAAACAAATCGACAATTCACACCTAACGATCGTCCCTCCGGCAAGAGGGCACAGTGTGGGTCGTCGGAAGCGAGCATCGAGTGAGATACTTCGCGGGATTCTCGAATCGTTGTCGCACGATTACGAAATACGAAGCTTACTTCGTAAAATCGGCTCGACTTAGTCGCGAGTATTACGATTATCGTTCGTTCGATCGCAACGTTTAGGCACAACGTTTTGTACCTTCGGCTCCGATCGTGTGTGATCCGTCGCATTTTCGACCGCGACGAAGTCATCTTCAGGCATTGTCACGCTAAGCTCGTTATTCCGTTGATTGGGCAATCCGATGTGGCTGTTTGTTCGCCTCTCTTCATGGTATCAATAAATGCGTGATATCACCGATCTCGTACTCGCCTAAAAGAACGTGAAAAATGTCCCTCATTGTCAAGTGGCGAATCGTCTCGTTCACGTGGCTAGACACGTAATCCTGTATTATCGGCAGTATGTCTGGCTTGATGATGTCTAATGCCTCCGGTGTCAGCTCCTCGAAGACCTGCGAAACAATCAGGCCGATTTATAGATGTGTTCGACACGTCCCAACAGAGTGAAATTCATCCTGCGGGAATCTCGAGCCACTCGTGCTTTGCGTTCGAACATTGAATTTGAATTATTCAGCACAGGCCCTTTAAGGGCGTAATATTATTCAATATTAAGTAATATTCCGAGCATATTCTTAGAATATTAGACGAAATATTCTGATAATATTCTAGGAATATTGCGCGTTTATAGGGATCATATATAGCACAGTTTCGGGAAATTTAGCCGAGAGCCATTTTCCGCGGTGGATCCTTTTCACAAAAATCCGAATTCTCGGATGTTCATTTCACGGGCGACCTCGATTCACGGGAGTCTCACCTTGCTCATAATCTTGCCGATGTCCTCGCCGCCCATGAAGTCCTCCAGGTGTATCTTAATCGCGCGCAGAGAAAAATCGAGGACGAAGCTCTTCGTGTACATTCCTCTGTTGTAGCCGAGCGCGGTGTTCGCGTAAGCGCGGAAGTCGCGCACGGTCGTTTGGAAAGGACCCGCGCCGTGTAGCTGATACGTGTCGCCCAGTACACCGGATATGTTGTAATGGCCCGTCGCGTAAATCTCGGGAATGGAGATGTTGATCGCGATGGTAGGGCCGATCAGCGACAGCTTAGCGCGATCGATCAGGAAAGTCGACAACTTCCTCACTTCTAGGCTCTCGATCAGCAGGTGCACTCTACGCAGCAGATTTCGCGCGATGAAGTTTCGCGCGTCGCCGGCATCATTAACGCGACAGCAACCGCGATAATCGATTCTTCCGCGCTTAGCTCGCCAAAGCCGGTCGCGAGATATATCCTCTCAAGACGAAACCTGACGTACACGGCAGCGTAAAACACGATCTACAGGTAGGAATTAACCAACGGTGTTTGTCTTAGATGATTTCAGATTCATCCGGATGAAGATGTGGTGAAAATCCAACAAATTCAACTTAGATGAGATGAAGATGAGTTTGCCTTTAATTTATTTAGATGGGAAATAAGATAAGTAGCGCTGCTTATCTGGATAACTTTTTAGATGATATCGCCTTCATGAGAGACTTTGTAAAAGTTTCTGATAAAACTTAAGCAGATCGTAACATTGCGCAACGGCTAAGTAATTCGTCGGCATAATCGCTCTAAATTTCAGGATCCAACAGAAAAGACCAATAATCATTGACCGCTCACTAATCGCTGTGCTTCCTGAACGCACTCGTTATTTCGGTCTTCTTCAATAAAGCCCATATCAGACTGCTGACTGTGAAGGCCGATCTGACCGGCGGTTACGACTATCGACTTTTGAAGGGCCTATCATAGTGGAGCGTCGTGTAACTAGTCTATTGTAATTGGTCCATTGAGAATTGGCAGTCGTAATCGGCAGTCGGGTCGGCCTTCACAGTCGGCAGTTTGACACAAGCTTAAAGTGGATTGATCAATTGAAACAAATGGTTTGTTCTTTTCAGTTGCGCCGCTGAACCAGTGCGATAAGTTCGAATGAGACAAGTATATTTCGTCTCGCTCTAAAGGTAAGGATGATCAATTTATTCATCTGGATGATTGTTTAGATAATTTTATCTAGATACCAGTGCGAACACCGTTGGCCAATCACCGGTCGATTATTCTCCTCACACTCGAATACGATCGGTCAATTTCTTATTCTTACTTCCTGCGAACGCACTCGTACCGCCCATCGGTAGACCACGCTTTAAGCGGACACTTACTTCCCTATTTCCGGATTGTCCGTGTCGATGACGATCTCGTCGAGCGTGAACGGCTCCAACGGTGGTATACCCAGTTCCGGTATGCCGTTGCGCATTCGGACGCGGAATTTTTCCAGGAATCTTCTCAGCTTGAACTCGAGGCCCCTTGACGCCGCGCTGTCAACTACCACCCCCTCCTCGTGACGATTAGCGAATAAAATAAGCGAATGAAAGAGTCTAGTGTGACTAAGCGTTACGATATATTCGATATTACGCGGCGACACGCCGACAACCATATACTCGCGATATACTCACTGTATCCGGTCGTCGCCCTGGTGGCGTTGATCAATAAATTTCTCGGCCTCTCCACCGCGCTGGTTACTACAATCAGAAGACAAGACCGAGAGAGAGAGGGTCTCCCTTCATTTGCGTTCACGTTTATCTCGTCTAATCTTATTGCGCGCTTGTTATATTGCCGCGTCGCGCCGGAGGTCAGGAGGCATTTAACTCTTTCGGTCGTCTCCCATCGTCGCCCGCATTTCCGGTGCATTGTTGCGTCACAGCGATTCTTCTCTCTCTCTCTCTCTCTTTCTCTCCATTCTTTTATTGTTTATATATGTGAACGCGCGAAATTGCGCGTTCCATTCCGGAAAAGTTTCGCCGAAATTTCGTTCGATTGTACGAGCGACGGAACAACGGAAGGGAAAATACCGGCGACGACGGCGCACCGAAAGATTTGTAGAAACAGAAGCGCGGAAGTAATCGGTACATTAAGACGGCATTGCGATTGTTTCCTTGAGGGATAAAACGCCGGTCGTCTCTATCGCGTGCGGATATTCTCGTACGCGAGTGCACTTCCTCCTCGGAAGTACATCGGCTCGCGTGAGATACGTGCTTGGATGAAACGTAAATTGTAATTATGCGGGTGTGCGTTGAAGCGGTTCGCTATTTAAGTCATTTGAGTTAGTTTGTCTTACGTTCACTTCTGCGAAAGTTTGTTAGCAATTCCCATTAAAATTCCCGTCCCGAGGAGGCGGAGGAACAGTAATATTGACAATATCGTGCTGAAAGCGTGTTCAATCAAACCGAGGCAGGGCTATTCGACAGCGTTTTATTTAAAGGGGGATTAAAAAGCTGTCCGGGAATTTTCATAATGCAATTGCAAGAGTCTTTATCGTCCCGCCCGTGATGAAGAGGAAGAGAACGTAGTCTCTTCTTCGCAATCAAACGCACCGTAACGTTGCTGCAGGTCGTATTGCATTACTGCGTCACCGCGCTGTCTGTATATTCGCATCTTCGAGTTCCCGTTGGCTCGCGACCCCGGGCGTGTTGGAATTTACGCTAACGCGAATTACGTTTCTCAATGTCCCTCAGAGAGACGTGTAATTGGTCCCTAACTTTTCGACGCCCACATCGCTCGTTTACGTACATTGTGATTAAAGCTTCGACTCGCGCGGCAATGTATACAGACATGTCGAAAGCCGACATGGTTAAAAGGAGAAAATGACAAAAGGGAAGTTTCATCTCGAGCGGAATGCGCACAATCGTGTACGAGTTACGTATATTTGGCTGTGAAGCATAATGAGACATCGTTCGTGTTCGATTAATTGGGGGATCAAGTGCAGATGATCGGAACTTTATTCTCATAGTTGAACCAAATTCAGTCTCTAATCATCAAGTTAATTTCTTATAAATATATATGTTGTACACTGGAAAAAAATTACTACGTTCAAATAGATATTTGTTAAGGAGTATTGGAGTAGTTAATTTTATTCGGATCAAATAAATACTATTTAAATGTAGCATTTTTTTTTCTTTCGATGTGCTATATTTAAGTTAACATTTACTTAATCCAAATAAAAAAAAAATCACTCCCATATTACATAGCAAATATTCACTTGAACATAACAATTTTTTTTTCAGCATATATACGGATTGTTACGCGAAAGAGTATACATTTCCACTTATATTTCCGTTTCTATTGGCTCGTCATTTTCCAAAGGTACTTTCCAAGGATATAGACTCAGCGTTACTCATTATCAGCGGTCATATGCAGAAGCATTTGCAATATAATAAGCTAATAATAATAATATAATAAGCTACTGAAGATTGTTTTCTTTTTTTTTTTTTCTAAAACCATGAAGCTGCGCCGTAAGCGTGAAGTATTCAAGCCTTTCTGAAAAAATCTTGACGATTTGTACGAACACATACTGTAGTCCGTGGCAGTATCCGTAACGCGATGCAACAATTCTTTTTGCCGTTGCATGACTCCCGTTACTGTAACAAACGATCACAAATCAACGAGATACTCTTTCACAAACAGGATGAATTAACCGAGAGAGAGCCGAGGAAATGTTGATTAAATTCTGCCCGCTCATCTCGCGACATCCGACATCTATGTAGCGAGTGGAGACCTCTTCTCAGTCGAGTGTAACGTAATAATTAATATTTGTAAATTAACAAGGACGAAAAGACGCGCGATGATAATATTTGATCTTCCTTCGTTCCACATTGCGTTTGATTAACGCGAATACGGAGTGTAAATTATATCTCATCGTACACGAGTACTCTATAAGCGCGTAATATTCCTAGAATTTTATATGAATATTATTCAGTATTAAAATAATAACAATATAGCAAAAAGGTATATAAGTAAAATATATATACACAGATACGTATACGTGAATAATTTTTTTCAAATACAAAACGTATTTTTACGTAAAATTACTTCGACTTTATTTATATGATAAAACAATTGGCGTTGCAATACATTTGAAACAATGAACTACAATTATATATATTATATATATTACATATGATGTTTTTACAGTAACATTAAATAATGTTATTTTTTTAATATTATTAAAGGCGGGCATACAAGCATCTATTAATTAATATTCCAGAGATACTACTTAATATTAAGTAATAATTCTAGAACATTATTAGAATATTACATCCAAGAGTATTCCAAGAATATACCTAGAGAATATTATTCAATATTAAATAATATTACGGGCTTATAGGGTACATGAAATCTCGCGCTATTGATAGCGCTCTTCCTTTGTTTCCCTTTGTTTCCCACGCTCGACTGATGAAGATCGCATCCCATGGATCTCATTTAGATTCGTTTTGATACGAATCGAATGAAGCGAAGGATATCCACGCGCATTCGCTCGCACTTGGCGACCGATCGACACTTGCCTTTGCATACGTTAATTAAACCGTACGCCGATGGCTGCGGCACCGATTGCGGATAGCGAAGGATCGACTCGGTCGGAGGCTCGAGAGAGTCGGTTTTCGGGAAACGCGAAGCTCTCATACCGACCGACAATTCTGACGCGGGTTATCCGAGAGGCGGGTTCGTCGACAAATTTCGTCTCGCAACGATTTCTTGTCCGGTGACTGAACTGAGGGGGGAGATTACATCGGCACGCCGATGATTCACGACGTGATCCATTACGTCGAGAGAAGATCGAGTCGAACAACTTGCCGACGAATAATAATAATAATAATGATAATAATAATCGCGCCCGGCGGAATGCGGCGGCGAAGAGAGTTCCGCACAGTTGCAATTGCAAATTCGATTACAGTTTATTTTTTTATTTGACTTGCTGCCATTCACGCACGCGCTCCCGCCGCGTCGCGCATCGGCCGCGCATGTGTGTGAAAAAATTGCACGTCGCGCGCCGAGCTTCAATTCCACTTATAACGCGGTTTACGTAACAACGTGTGAAAGATCGCGAGCTGAATTTTCAATGTGACTTTTTTATCCTACCGTCACGATATCATCGTGCAAGTGACGCGCATTACCGCTGCCGCCGCCGCTGCTGTTAATTGAATCGGAAGTTTCAATTGATATCAATTATCGGACGGAAATTAGTCGTGCAACTTGAACGAGAGCAGCAATCGAGGAAAAACAAATTTTCCTTTACTCCGGTGCCGCTTTATTTATATGTATTGATTGATGGTTGAATTAAATCAATCTATTTATATGAATAAAATCTCGTGCTTGGATGTATTAAGTAATTAAAGCCAAACAAAATAATTGACGAACAGAAGTACCCTCCCCCCTCCCTCTCCCGTCCCCGCCCAGAAATGTTACGCGTTACGGACCAAAGAAGGATTTGGCAATAACAAAAGTTGACAAATGACTGTTGCTAAATGACTGAGGTGAAATATCGAAGGCCAAACGTTCGGTCGAAATAATTTGATCGGATGAAATAAATATTCATATAGTTTTAAGAGTTGAGATTTGGTCGCTCGAACTAAGATTAGACTGTGAAATTAAACTTCGGTAATCCAATACCAAATCTTGATAGTAGAGTATGATATATATATACCATATATATATATATATATATATATGGTATATATATGGTATATATATATATATATATATATTTGGTAACTATTAATAAACATACAGTCCGTGAGGAAAATTGTTTTAGGTAGTTGTTATAATTTTTCTGAAAAAACATCTCATCGTAATCTATCTTGACGTAATTATCTGTTCGTAAACTATTTTAGGGCAGCTTGACACTCCGCTTCTTCACTTGGATGTATCTTTCTCACTTCAGTGTGAAGAAATCCTCTGTAGTTTCGATTTCGTCACTCGTCCGACTACTGACCGTAATTTGCGCTGCTACGCTAATTTGACAGGAATCGACGAGTCTTACGAACTCCTGTTTTTACATTTCGTGCTTATAATATGTCCTTGTGTGGAGAAAGAGAAAGAATAGAGAGTAGAGAGTGGGTGAGTGAGAGTGAGAGGAGGGAGGGGGGAGTCATAAATATATACTAATAGTTACCAAATATTTTGTAAGAACGGAATTGAATGATCCCGTAATATTTACGAGATATCTAATAATAATCATCAATACTAAGAGATGTTAAATATTTCTTGGCTGTTATTATTTTATTTAGTTGTTTCAACTCGGAATAAAAGTTCGTTCGTACCGCAAACCAACTAAATACTTGGTAATTAATATCAAGTTTCATAACGATTATTCCAAATATTCCGTCGAAATCTCTAAACTAAATATATTCAGTAATTATTATCAGTCTTTTTTTTCTGAATGGCGGTTATACTTTATATTGAGTTATGTATGCTTATTTCCAGCTTTCCCGCGTGTCCTCTCATTCTTTTCATATTACATCGCACGTTCTTGTAGGCGAATAAAAATTTAATTAATTAAAGTTTTGATTAACGTTTTATGTACATTCGGATTGTGTTTTTTTCTCGCTACACTGAATAAAGGGTTTGGGAAAAATTATCGAGCATTTAGCGAAGTAGTTTCGACTGAATGATTTGGATTGGTGTAACCAAACAATTTAATTGAAACTATCGCATTAAATGTTCGTTACCAAATAATTGTTGCTGAACTCTTTTTTCCAGTGTAGAGATTATGCAAAATATCGCGTTTGCAAGGACAAGATGTGACTAATGCTGACGTCGAGGAGTAAAAAATACCATTCGTCATTTGTACGAAACATATCACTTATATCAATTAAATGTTAATAAGCTCTTCTCTTACGTTAAGTTGCAAAAAATGCGTCGCAGTCTGATTCATCGTTCGTTTCCGCGAATGTATCTTTTCCTGATATTATTAGATGTTCCTCGTAACATATTTTCTGTGTGAATGCGTTCTTCAATCCTTTTCAATGGTTTTAATTAATCCAAAAGTCTGGGGATTCATCGATTTTCATGCATATTTATCGAAATACTTCGCGTTTATAGAGCTTAAACGTTCTTTTCTCTCTCTCACTATCGATCTATTTTTGACAGGCCCACAAGCGGTCTCGAATTAATTAATCAAATTCAATTCAACTTATTTGAGATTAAGCATTACTATTTGATACTATAATGTTTGAGTATTTGAGATAACGGAGACTGCTTTTTAACTCACACGCGAGAGAAAAATATTGATCGCAAGATGAATTAGTCATGGGAGGGTTGTTTATACACGTTTAAACTACGACCATATCGAAGGTAATTCGGCATATCGCAATATTATCTTTTATGTTCCACTAATGGAACTTTTATGTTCAACGTACAGTCGTTGCTGTGGGAATTCTCTTATCGCGTATCCTGTTCCGGACAACTGTTTTTTTTTTTAATGCAGTATACATTTTTGAGAAACGCGTCGATATGAAACATTTATCATTTCGCATGCCGGTGAGTTTTATTATCTAATTGATCGATTACATGCGAGAAAGTGGAATAATGTATACACTCTAGTTTTGTATCCGATTAAAAATAGGGTCACTACTCGGTGTACAATAAATATATCGCGCTCCTATGCCGATTGCGACCAGTGGCTGTCATGTTAATCGTTATGTTTAAAGAAATTCGTGACTTTTTATGTGACTTTGATTTATAAATACCGCTCGAACGGCAAAATGTAATTAGAAACGAGCCGTCCCGTCATCTCTTCGACTAATCAAATGTTTTCGACCATTATTCGACGAGGAATGCAGTTTTTTATTTTATATGTATTGCGATACCAATTGTTTTATCATATAAATTATTAAAATAAAAACAAATATATATATATATATAATTTTTATGTTTTTCTATATTATTATTATTATTTCAATATTCTAAGAACATTTTTATAACATGCCAAGAATATTACGTAAAGCGGACATCAATAGAACATCCTTATAATATAAAAAAATATTACATAATACCCTTAGAATATTAGAATTATTTTAATAATATCCACATAATATTCTAGGAATATTACTCGCTCATAGGATCAGTTCTTTCCGATATCGTTATCTAATATAATGACGCTTGAACTTTCCATTCATCGCTCAATCTTTAATTGATATCGCTGTACCGTTGCGCCTGTGTGTCTTTTCACTTTCATCGAATACCGACGCGCTGTATCTCCTCATCTATCCGGGCATCGTAATTCGTTACGTCACCCCCCCCGGTTCGATGAATTTACCTCCTGGGGATCTCCATCGGCCTAACTTATTTGCTATTCAACATTTCAGCCGACAAACTACTTACGGCCGAGCGGTCGGCGCTCTCTCAATATTCAATTGTTACACTTTAAACGTTAACTTTTGATTTTCGCTGCGAGATACAAAGCATACAATCCCGTATGATTGATATATCATCAAACAATGTGCCGCTGTGCGATGTATTTTCTACTTATTTCACTTATCATGCAATTGGTCTTTTCTTTCTCTTACTAAATAAATGTCCATGCAACATCATTGCTGTTTAATCTTGCGAATGTTTAATAATTTCACGCGATTACCGAGTGATATCGGGGATCGACTCACGGAAGTTCGTTGCGGAGTTGGCGACGTTACCGATGCCGTCCAGAAGGATGGAGGGCAAGGGCTCGGTCGGCGAAGCGTGCACCATCACTTGGAGGACGATGCATATCGTTATCGTGAGAACTCGTCTTGCCGCACGGCACTTGATCGACCCCGGTAACATCGTCGTGTACCCCGTCGTGGGAAACCGTGCGATCGGAAAAACGCGGAAAATCGGCCGATCGGCTCCGCTCTCGTGGGAGCAGGAAGACTGACTGACTGACTGACAAGATGAAAAACCGCGCGGTGCACAGCGAACTGCTGGTGCAGGCCGCGCGCGTGCACACCGAGCGCGTCGTCGTCAGCGAAAGTGAGCGTTCGTACACGCGCGCGCGCGTCGTTCGATTCCCATGTCGCATTTACACGCTCGGCTCAGCCCGACGCGTCGCCCACCGGGGAACGTGCAGGTAATCGCGGTTTCGGAGCAAGCCGGGCGACTCTTCCTCGCCCGAAGGTCGGCGCCTACGCGAGGCATTTGCCGCCGATCGAATTTCGCCGCAAACGGTGGCCCGGCGATCTCCTCCTAAGTTGAAATTCTCGCCTCATGTCAAACGTCTTTCAATTTTATAACACACCTTCTAAGCGTGCAATGTTCCCGAGAATATTATACGAATATTATTCGATATTAAAATAATATTCTTATAATATTCTAAGAACGTTACGTGGTATTTTTTCTTATTTCGGGAAAGTTCTATTGATGTTGCACTTCACATAATATTCTTGGTATATTGTAAAAATGTTCTTAGAGTATTGAAAAAATATAAAATAATAGTAATATAGAAAAATATATGTAAATAAAATATATATGTATATACATATGTTATATATACAGGGTGTACATAAAAGACTACAATTAAATATACATAAAGAGTTGAAAATTTAAAAAAATATATAATATGAAAATAACATAATAATATTATTTTTTTAATATTATTATTGTCGTAGTATAAACAGACGACATACGTTGGCGATTATCGCATTAATAATAATCAAGGTCGCGTCTTTATCGTTATTCGCAAGTACAAAGGGCAAAATGATTCACTCCGCAACGGATCAATATTGCACCGATGCGGACACGGGAGAAATGAGAACCGAACGGCACGGCTTTTTATCTTTTCGCGGCGTATTATTAGAAACATGAGATTAACGACCGGTTTCGCCAGGAGAACCGTGACTAGAAAAGGACCGAAAAAAAAATAGGCTACACGAGGTTTTAAGTTGATCGTCGGCGGCGCCGGTGAAATCGCGGATCACACTTGGGGCGGGTTCCACTTGACGCTCGCGTTAACTTGACGCGTAATAGTTACCAAATATGTAATAGTAAAAATCAAACATTTGATAACAGATGTTAAATATTTCCTGTTAGTATTTAATTCAGCTGTCGTTATTTTATTTAGTGGATACGACTTTTGATGAAAGTCGTTTGCGGGCCAACTGAATATTCGATAATTAATATCGTAATTTCACGAACCAAATATTCCGTCTCGAAATCTCGAAAGTAAATGCATTTAGCAAGTTTATCACCAAGCTTTTTTTGTCTTTTTTTTTTTTCAGTTAATATAAGCATTCCTCCTACGGCCGTCGATTGTCCGAAGCGGATACGCTTAATTTAATTCTACAACATAGTAGGAGCTAAGATGGTAAAAAATAGATTCAATTTCAATTCTAATAATATAATATAACCCCTATTTTGACCCCTGATAAAATAAAGTCTTAAATTTCCGTTTTCGCTGTTTCAGCATTAAAATAGGTTGATGAAGGTAGCGTTGGAATTCAATCTGTAGAATTAATGGTTCAAGAGAGAAGTTGAAAAGTATCAATATCGTCAAATTTGTTTAGATTTTCATTTGTTTCTCTTATTAGGCCGTCTAAATGAGCGCAAATTATCCTTAAGAGCGTGAAAATAACGTGAAAATTTCAACTCGGGTGTTCCTCATGGACACGCTTCCACGTTATGGTAGCGGTTATTTCGCGGGACACGTGTGGCGTCGTAAGGATCGAGACTATTATTAACGTGTTCACGTGTTACGAATTCCAAGGATCGCGTCAATCCCATTCCCGGTCGGTACGACATATGTAACACGTCACCGTCGGCGAAAGTGAAGGTCTCTCATTCTCTCGCGCGAGTCGGCGTGAGAGAGAATTATTATGATTTAGCGTACCGCGCGAAATAATAACAATATTCGACGTCCGTGCGACGCAAATCGCTCGAGTATCCCTCAATCTAACGCTCACTTTTATAGCCACACATTCATTATTTTAATAGAACACCGGTTGAAAGGGGAAGAAAAGCTACTGGTTTTGTATCTACTCGATTGCAATCACTTTTCTTTTTTTTTTTTTCATGATTAACGAAGTTGTCGGTTATCGTTATTACTGATGAAAATCGGGGCGGAAGAACCGCGAGATTTTACGGCCGGGCCCGAAATAGCCGTTACGCGTCTACTTTGGCCGCAGGTTCTCGGAATCACAGGATTGTGTAACAGGGTCACGCGGATGCGGAAGTGCGCGGAAGTGGTGGCCGCGCGCACAATACGGTAGTACGTCGCGAGGTAAATTGCCACAATAGACGTCGCGGAGGTCGTGAAAAAGGGAGCGCACGCACGGCCGTAGTAAAAGTACTTTACTTGTTGCGCGACTTTACGTGCACGGGACGCGTACGTGACGCGCATTGTGATCGCCGGATCGGCGGCCACCGCCGGGAGCCTCCAGCAGGCGTCTCCGTGGCATCGTAACGAGGAATTATACTGCGGTCTCAAAGTTATTCCGGCAAAATATATATATATATATACGCGCACGTGTATATACGTATATGTATATATACACATATAGGGTGTCCCAAACTAATCTCGGTTCCCGTGGTGTGTAAGGAGAACGGGTGAGACTGAACGGGAAAATCTTGTACCGTTTTGCAAATAACACGCAAAATTTCGAATTACCAATGATTGAAAATGGTGATTTATAGAGGCTTCTTTAATTTCACCAGTTTCAGCCGTTCTACTTGCCACTACATCATGGAAACCGAGATTAGTTTGGGACACCTTGTATATAAATGATAAGGAGGAATTCTGCATTCATCGCAGCCTTCACTTGAAAGTCGTAAAAATAAATAGAGAACGTTAAACTATCGACGAACCGATAGACTTCTCACGTTTATTTTTACACATATAAACGTTCAGTTTCGAAATCAATCCGGAACGTGACGGAAAATGCAATACGGGCGCGTATAGCGAAAATATATATTTTCTTAAATCTGCAGCTTTGCGTGAAGAAAACAAAGTAATTGTTTATTCTAGATATATTCGAATAAAAGAATTTATTCGACTTCTGCTAATTCACTTAGAGTAAATGTTATTACTACCTATTGAAAAAATATATTTTACTTTATTTTCTCTCTCAATACATGTAATTCGTAATAATAATAATTCGTAAAATACCTCTTCGCTTACAACATATTGGTTTATTCACACCAATATTTACACAAACATATTTTTATACTGAGAAAAATTTTCTTTGAAATGAAAAAATATGCATTCTGAAATTTGTAGCTTTGAATGAAAGCAATCGTTTATTCCATTTCAATAAAAGAATTTGAACTCAAGTAGATTCGTTATTAGTACCCACTGAAAAAAATATATTTTATTTTTTACATACTTTTCTCGCAGAATACACAATTCCCATGTCTTCGTAAAACATTTCGCTTCGACACAGCACATTCATATCTTCACTATACCTCAAAATGAAGAAGCGTTTAAGTACAGCTCAACAACGGAACAAAATCGCGACACTTACGCCTCGATATAGACTCACTTTATGCGATATATCTTCGAAAATACTAAACCCGCGAAACTCAAGCAAATATTAAACATAAGCTCGCACATATGCACCGATACTATAAATCAAAGGAAAATATTAACACAAACTTGCCTCAGATTTATAAAACAGCTCATTCACGCCGTATCATACACCATCAGCGAACAACATTTGCGACCGGCGACAATTAATCCTCGGCCGTCAAGTTAATTTTAACATCGTAACTCGTTGGAATCCACGAGATCGGGGGGACATTAGTCAACAGTAAAGTTGTTCGCTCCGAGTTATTGTCCAATTAAAAGTTGCGCTCCGATCTGGCGTTCGGCTCGCGAGATAAAAAGAAGAGGAAACGTTGTTTCGAAGTTTGGCGGGGACGGTTGCGGAATACGGCAGTTGCGGCCTTGACGCGACGAGTTCGAGAAAAACAGAGGCTGTTTGCGGGGCCCGGATCGTCCTTTAACGTCCTATAGGCTGCACCGTGGTCGGCTTCGGATAGACCCACGGGTTCGGTGCGTAACCCGGTCTCTGAGGTATCGGGTAGACGGTAATGGCCCCAGGTGCAACGGGCGCGGGAGTAGGTATCGCGTGTACACAGGCCACCAGAGCCATTAAGGCTGCGGCAACAACAATAACGACTCTTCCCAGATAGACCTGGAAACGGAAATATATCGTCGAAATGCGATATCGTCTCACTCGCCGGGACGATTCGAAATTTCCGTGGGGAACGCAGGGCTCCGCAATCGCTGCAGCTTTCGATCCGAAGAAAGAGTGGTGAAACAAAAGCGGAAATCGCTGGGAATTTAACGGGATCATTGTTATTGTTACTTCACGTTCATCGTTTATTGACACTCGTCCCTTTCGTTGGAAACTTTATTCTTAATGTATAGTAATATTCCAAGCGTATTCTTAGAATATTAGAAGTAATATTATAATAATATCCTAGTAATATTATTTCATGTTAAGTAATGTTTCTGGAATATTAATAAATGGTTATATATCCGCTTCTAATCATATAAAAAAAAGTAATATTCAATATTATTGTAATATTATATATTTGTTAATATATTCAACTCTCTCAATTGCTCGCAGCGTAATATTTCTTATCTCTTTCTCTTTCGGATTTATGACGTTACAGAGGCGGAACACTTTATAACTTCCCGATATCCAATCTTGTTCGTAAATCGGGGAACGCGATATCGGGGCGATATTTTCGCGGCTCTCTCGCACGTGTGTTATCGCATGTGCGAGCGCGCGACGCAAAAATCCGTTTTCCGTCGGGTACACTTAACAGAGAACTTTTGCCGTTCTTACCGATATCTCGTCTAAATTGCTACTCACGGGGATACAAGATAAAGAGAAAGACAGAAGGAAAAAAAAAGAAACACCGCGGACAGAGCGTTACTTTCGCTCGAGATTACTCGAACTCGACGCGCGTCGTACGAACTGTCAGCGCGTACGCGCGTAATTACACCGAAAGGCGGCGATATGAACGCACGCATGCATGCGTGTGCGTCGTGCCTTCGCTTTCGATTCAATTACGTGCGTGCGAGTGCAGCTCGGAGCAGTGATTTATGGATCCGTAAGGCCGCCGTCGTGCCATTAATTATGGCCGTGCCGACCGAAAATTCTCTTCACATCGACGCATCGACATTCGCGTATCTCGCGGCAATGATGTTTGGAAATTAAAATCAAATCGACCGTTATGTAACGAAGCAGAGTACACACAAGCGCGAGATATACGGGCTATAAAGTACGGGTTAATTCCTTTTTTTCCGTCTTTCTCGCATGCTTCCTGAAATTTCATAGCGTCACTTCGTCAAGTCGGTATTATTATTAATAACTTGTGGCGAGCATATTTTTGTAATGGCTTACCGATAAAAAGGGACGAGCATACTCGGGGAAGGATTACTCCGTTGCGCGTTATACCGGTTTATATCGCGATTATCGCGTTAATTAATTACCTTAGCGCGTAATATTATTTAATGTTATTGTAATATTATATATTTTTTTAAATATTCAATTCTATGTATGTAATATATATATAATATTTATATATATTATTTATGTACGTTTTTCTATATTATTATTATTTTATTTTTTTAATATTTTAGGAATATTACGCGCTTATAAGATTATCGCTATAGGAAGATATTTTCGCGCGAGAACGCGAATAATAATTTTACGAGAATAATAATAGCAGGTTCATTTCTTCCCGGTTTGGTTTGTTATCGACTATAAACTCAGTGGACGGGAATGTACGAGCGCTCGTTTCAAATGCGGAGAATCGCGCAATTTACGATTGAGATCGACCGCACAGAAAGACCCGGAAAGAAAACCGCGTGGGTGATCTCATTTAATTCACGAGTTTAACACAAGCGAATGATTATAATCGAGTTAGCGGTTTGAATAATGCATCGACGACCTTTATTATTCTCGACGAGAGAGAGAGAGAGAGAGAGAGAGAGGAATCGCCATTGCCGCCGATTCTTCTGCTTGTAAAACACGATCGCGGAATAAATAAATTAGGAGTTCGCAGAATCACATCGAGGAAAAAGAAACGTTTGCTATTCGCGGTTCTAATCGCACTGTAGAAGAATCACAATCAGAATGTCATCACAGCGTTAGCGAATAATAACTTTACACGCACACTGCTGCTACCTTTTTTTTGTTAATAACAACATATAGTTGGCGCCGAACGTGAGCCGATAATTAAGAAAAAATATAGGCAAAAAAATAAAGCTCTCTGATATGCGCAAATCGCAATATAATTTTAACGAGCCGATAAGAGCGGAAGTGCGCAGAACTAAAGTATTATATATTCTTAAAAATTAGCCATAATACATACAGACTTTGTGAAACCTTCTTCAGCGAAATAACGCGGAAAGTTTTTAGAAAGTAGTTGAGGCTGAAAGTGATTAGAATTTTAACGTGTATTACCATGGTGATACTACCGGAGATCCTCAGATATCCTTTGGCGACTCGGATGCTCGGCACGAACAGTACGCATCCTCAAACGTCGGCGGACTTTTATACCGGTGGGCCTCGAGAGGTGGATATTCGGGTCAGAAATGCGTGAGAAACGTACATCGCGCCATCGCATCCGAGGCGAGTCCCATAAAGGAGCAGGTGTCCGTGTGTTTCATTCATGTCTGCATCTGCTCGCAGCATCCGTACGTCAGGTGAGTGCGCGCGTCCATGTGTAAGGATGCGAAATCGCATGAGAAAGATACCGCTAATTCACATTTTCGGCGAACACGTTAGATTAGATCCTCCATGATGCGTAATATTTTTTAATATCGAATAATATTCCGGGCATATTTTTAGAATATTAGATGTAATACTCTAATAATATTCTAGTAATATATATATACATAGTTCATTGTCCTTTCTTCTCCCTGCGAATCGCTTTCGATAGTCGCTTCATCAATTGTTACGTTCTTAAAATTCCGTATTCTAGGTGGTTTCCTCGCGCCGAAAATCCCGACCGATGAGCAACAATTAGCCAACGAACCTTGACACATACGCACACATACACGCAGTTCACGCAAGTTGAATACTAATGAATATTTCTCCTGGCTAATATAAAAGTCACACTCTCTCTCTCTCTCTCTCTCTCTTTCTCAGAATCGCGTTCTAAACACATTGTGCAAACGTGAATCTCAATTCCGAAAACCAGTCGTGCCAGCGTCTTGTCTCTCGCGCGTGCAATAAACTTTTCAACTCCTCCAAGTTGGAGGATGAATTTCGCCTCGTTGAGAATTCCAAGAGTTAGTAGAGACTTCGGAAAGTTTATTGAAACGAGACGTTGTCTAATCGCGCAAATCAGCCATTGCACAACACTTGCAGAAGCGTTGACACGGTTATCAGTTTTTCTTTCTTTTCCTTCAAGTCAAGCATACGCTTCGACTTCTAACCGATAACATCAATAATGTCAATAATTTCAGTGTGCATATATGAATCATCGCGATGTTAATAAATTTGTTACGTACGTAATTTTCAATCGTTCAATGATGCAATTAATTATTAATGAAATGACTTTGGCCGCGTTTGAAGGTAAAGATGACTCACCACGTTCCGGTTGATCGCACAAACTGAACCACATTGTGTGTACAATTTGCTTTTTCAGTCCGGAGGAATAAAAACTGATCGACGAGAGAGAACAAACTTTAGATACATCATTGTTTACTTCGTAATTAATTATTGTTACAAAATTGTTTGCTTCATAATTATTCTTACAAAAATTCATGCTCCCACGAGTCTTGGAGTAAAAGCAATGATTGTGCGAGCAAATATTGTGCTCTGTGAGTAATTATTCAAAGGCATCGCGTTGTCTCACGCAGCACAGCACTTGCGAGTCGCTTGTGTGTCCTGAGCTTTAAAACAGTTTGAACAGCGGAGAATTCGAAATCGATGGTCTAAAGAGAGAATTGTTTCCGGGATTTTCCCGGAAGGTTACTTTTCTCAGTCGGATTACCATCGACTACGCTCGGACGTCGAAAGAAATGTTCAATTAGTTTTGTAACTCAGTGCACATCTCATTTTACATTTATATTTAATATCATCTCGCAATATTGAATCAATTTAATATTAATTGTTGTTCAATTAGTATTAAATTATCACTAGAAATATACGATTTTACATTAAAAATACATTCTAAATTTCATACAGTTATATAAGTTTCTTATACGCGTGTATCGTTAAGTCGTATTATTTTCTACTCGGCAGGCATGTTTCCACATATATTATGTCTGAAATAGTTATGGAATCTTTACGCTACGCTTAAATGCAAATAATGAAGTAGCTTCGAAAGTTACCTTATCTTTTCTGCTACCACCAGAAGATAATACCACTTACGCTCCAAACATTCACAAAATTAGGACGCATATCTCAACAATTGAAATGATGGATCAGTGGGATTCTATTTATAACATTATCTGTCGTGAGTGTAAAAGATATGTTTTACATTATACTTCTTTCTCGAAGCTTTATAAATATATACTTGAATACGTATAAATTTATAAAATACGTCCCTCGATTATTCGATAACATTCGGATTTTTATTCCGATTCTTCACGAACAGGATAATTATAAGCGGAATCCCCGTCATCGTTTGTTGATCGTCTAAATTAAATTTCGGATTGCAATCTTTTGCAGCCTGCTCGTCAAAGTGCCTTGTGACTTCAAAATTGCAAATTGTCACTTGGATGAACATAGAACTTCGTCTTTCCTCGGATAAAATGTCTGTTCTCGATGAGTTTCGATCTCAAATACATCGCGTACGTACAACGGTTTACAGTTGCGTTGTTCTAAGTTCAGATCGTACATGAACAGCTGTTCATCGTAACTTTCGAGGACGATGGGTGCAGGATATCCGTGAGATCGGTTATTGTTCACTTATGTGGACTGTATGGGATCGTCGTTTCGGAAGCAGTACGTTCTTATCGCGCATGCATTCCGCGCGAAATTAATTGCTCTGAAAGGATAAAACGAAAGAAATTAGATTATTTGAACGCGATGAGTTCAAGTAACACCCCTGATGGAAATATTTTGCCGAAATACCCTCTTAATTGATCCCATTAATATACGCAGTTTTCAATTTAATTCAGTTAAATTTCACGATATCTAAGATTTCAAAAATTCTTCGATTACTTGTCAAAATTCATCCTTTAATTTGCACATTACATATTAATTTACATGATATATTTCACAACATTACATTGAATTTCATGATGGAAATTATGATTTATTTTGAAATATTTATTATTATATATTTCGGTGATTTTTTAATAACTTTCATCAAGTTCATAATAATACTCAAATATAAGGAAAGTTAAGGTATATTGCTAAAATTTGACAGAATTTAATTGAAAATTGCGAACATTGACGGAATGATAATGAAATGAGGTCAATTGAAAGAGGATTTCAGTAAAATTTTCAGCATAATATTTTCCATCGGGGACATTCTCTCTCTCCTTCTCAAGTCTCTTTAACTTTCAGATCGCATACTAATATATCGACATTTTACCAAATAATTTTAGTTTTTTCACAAGTTGGCGTATACGTCTTATTATATAATGTCTCCGTTAACAAAATTGATGATTGGCAGCACTACGAACCTGAAATATCAAAGTAAATGCCTCGCAAGTTGCATTGTTTAAACTGGTAAATTTTTTGTTAATCTGTCTATAAAGGTTTATAATTGTTGGTTTTCCGTTGCACACATTTTTTTATATTTAAGAAAGAAATTCGGCCCATATAGGGTTGATTAAATATTTTGGAGATTTTAATTAAAACGAAAAGTGTTGTATATACTACGAAAAACTATGCAAAGCAAACAGGAAGTAAGCAAATCACTCACACAGCCAATAACATAACGCAGGCTTGCGTTGTGAACGTCAACCAGTATATGAAGTTAGGTACCGTGAGAATGGTGGCGTTGTAAAGTTGCGAATAGAAAATGCTGCTGATCAGCGGCACTGCGTTATCGAATACGGAGAGTATCGCGAACACCTTCCCTGAGAAAATGGAAAAGCGGTAGTACAATTATTTCGCGAACGTAAAAAGAGAAATCGTCGGTGCGACATAAAACTGCGAAACCGGTGCCATTTGCAAAACGAGTTTCCGGATTTCGAGACACGAGGAAACCCGAGAGACATAATCAAATTTATTTGCAACAAATGTGACGATTGACGTGAGATACGTATTTTCCCGTATTCACAATATCGATCACAATTGTCTGTTTCTTCCTCTCGTTTTGAAATAAGTGATTATATCTTGTTAATTTGTCTGAATCATATCGGTTTAATAATCGCCGCGTAAAATCGCACGGTGATCCACGAGGAAACTGATCGAATGGGTTCACATACCTCGCTCTTCCACTTCTACTAACTTCGAGGCCATAGATCTGAGCGCAGGAGCTACCACGGGTCCAAACGCGGCGACAACAGCTCCTACGGAATGATCCTTATGTACTTTTAATTCATCGATATTATATTTTCGAAGTATACGAGACATTTTTCTCAGAGATTTGAAAGCATCTCGCGGAAAAAAGGCCCGAGGAAATTCAAATGGGACACCCTGTGTACACATGCGAGCGCTGTCGATGTCGTGTTAGCGTTTTAGACGTCGGAAGACGAAGGACTCTCCGTTTTCTCACCGATATAAAATATTCTCCCCTGGCTCGCCGCAATAAATACCAGTCTTCCGAGAGCGTGTGACGTTGCGCCGATTACCACGATTATGGTATCCTTCAATTTGAGATACTTCAGCAACGGCATCGCACACAGCATCGCTGTTGGGAGGAAGAAACACTTTACGTTAGACTCCCCCCAGCATTATCAGCAATATTCAACATGTATTCAACACATATTGCGCGTCTATATTTATTTGAAACGTTTCCTATAATTCCTGGAATATATTTAAAAAAATGATAATAATAATATAGAAAAATATATATAAATAAAATATACACATATATATATATATATAATTTTTTTAGTACAAAACATATTTCTACACAAAATCTTGCCGACCTTATTTATATAATAAAGCGATCGCCGGCAGAAAGATTACGCCTCTTCACACGGAGAACCAAAGCCTCCACGTGAGAGGCGGTGAGTTTCAATTTCGCGCGAAACAAGGTCGTAATACTTTTATCACCCTCGGTGGTGGACGTGAAGTTAACGCTGGGAGTGAAAGTTCTCGGTCCCGATAAGAAATTTCTCCTTTCACTCGAGCTCATCCCGAGAGCATCAATTTGACCCGATTTTGATCACACGTGTGTGCCCAACTGACCTATCACGAAGAGGGACGACTGAAAGGTCCGGAAGTTACTGAACTTCGCCACATCCCAGTTGAAGACCAGCTGGGTGTACAGATAGCTCATGGCCTTCTCATCTCGTTGAAACGTGTACAGGCACATCGCCAGCATCACCAGTGTCAGGCACAATCTTCCGTGGTTCGATCTCCACTTGGTCATTGTGTTCACGGTCTCTCGGACATGGTTGACGTCGAAGAAGTCCTTCAGGAAATTCACGCCGACGAACGATCGCTGCTGCGCCGTCGTCTGCCACTTGAGCCTCACGAGCGAGTAAACGATCGCCAGCAGCAGCATGCTCGCGTTTATGGCGAACATGATCGCGTAAGATGAGCCGACGTTGGCGAATACGTAAGATCCGAGCGCGATACCTGCGATATGTAATAAAACACGTGTGGTGGATTCACGCATGAATTCCGTCCAATCTTCAAGTATCCCGATGAGTTTATACTTCGTGCGACTGCATTCGCGAGATAAGGAAGAGGAAAAGACAAGAGGGTGATAAACGAGAAAAGAATGATTTTTTTTAACATTTTTACCTAAATTATCTAAATGTATCTCGACCATCTGAATTTAATCTAAATGTGCAAATTTTACCTAAATTTAACGAAATTTCTTCTCCATCCGGAAATTATTGATTTGTAAATTTACTTCTACCACGGAATGGCAATGTATTCCCGGGGGCAAGACACCGATCCTTACCGGTTGGCATGGTGCTTAGGTAGACGACATCCAAAATCGTGATCCTGATGGTTCTCTCCTCGAGGGAACATATGTCCGTCAAGTAGGCAAAGCAGCTACCGAAGATCATAACGTCGCCGCCCAGTATACCCATAGGTAAGACGGCCGTGTACGTCACCATATTCAGATTCCAATCCTTCATCAGGGAGTTCACCACGATCATGAGGGAGTAAATCAATTTGCCCGTGAGACCGATGACGAGCGGCAATTTGCGTCCGCGCCGGTCGCTCCAGTTGCCGAAGAACAATGCCAAAATGATAGGCACTATATGCCCGGCGAAGTTGTACCACTGCTGGAATTCCGAGACGGTCTTCTGCAAGATGAAATTCCTCCGTTTCAACGAATCGTGACGGACGAAATTGAAGGTCAATCGCCCGCTCACAGCCGAAAGTACTATTTTTTTAAGTATGTTTGACGAAGGGACAGAGATATCCTACATACAGGGTATGTATACATTTTGTTGGGACACCCTGTATTTGCGGGGAAATTAATTGCGCCACTTGAACGTAGGTATTGCCATTTCGATTACATGTTAAAATATTTCACACGAATATCTCACCTTATCTGCGTATTCTTAACAAAACAAAAATATAAACCATTTGCAAGTTTTTAACAAGCAATTTGAATATATTTATATATATATATATATATTAGATTTATTAAAATTCGTCCCATCTACGCACTAATGCTTGTTGTTTCGCATACAAATATCTAATTAGATAATCGTCTTGATAATACGCTACTGCGTATTTACAATTATCTAGATCGATCAGTATTGCTTTTCGTCATTGACGTTATATTATCGTAACTACAATGTCAACCACACAGGTGGTTATCGATCCGCGTGATACAGATAATCGCTAAAGTACAAGATCCATAAGTAATTGAGCTAATTACCAAGCTGAATATTTGCCACCCAGGCTGAATAGGCTGAACCTAACGATCTCACGGCATCTCTTAATATTCCAGAAATATTACTTAATATTAAATAATATTACGCGCTTACAAGGCCGAATTATATTTCGTTACTATGCCGAGGCAAGATATACGTAAATCCCTCAGTTCCTTCTCCCCGGTACCTCCTCAGTTTCTTTTTCATCTTTGTCACAATGTGAAAATCTTTACCTGCACTTCGGTTTTTACGTCCTTGTAATCCTTCAAGTGCATGCAGGTTTCTTCCGAATATCCGTGATCCACCCGGCAGGCTTTGTACAGGAAGAAGTCTTGCTCGACCACCGATGTGAACATGAATGCCATCATGTAGAGCCACATGCTTGGTTCTACCGATATTTTTCGCAACCACGTGCAACACCTCCTGTTGTCCTGAGGGAATACCTCCTGCGTTGTCTGATCGTTTCTATGGGAAGACCCTTCTGAGACCTGAGTGTCTCGACGACGGGGTTTCTCCTGCACCGCCTCGACGTTCTCGACGTGGGGGGACTCCCCCGGCTGATCGTCCCTACTCCCCTCTCCCATGACATTAATATTCCCACGGGAAGATCCCTCTTCATCGTCCTGATCGTGAGGGATCTCTTCGTCTGCCGTCTTGAGCTTCTCGTAGGAATGTCCCTCCTGTGCCGACGGATCGTTCCCGTGAGAGGACCTCCCTTCTTCGGCCTGAACATATTCATGGGAGGATCCCTCCTTCAGGATCTGAGGATTCCCATTGGAAGTATCCTCTTGTATCGTCTGGAGTTTCCCAAGAGGCTTCTCTCGTACCATCTGGACACTCGCGTGGAGAGAATCTTCTTTCGCATCCCGAACGTATCGACGGCAGGATTCTTCTTCCAGGGATTCCGAATTCTCATCAGAGGTGTCTTCCTGTATCGCTTGAAATCTCGCAAAGAGTTTCTTCTGTGTCGTCCGGACTTTCCTACGAGAACATCCCTCCCCCACGTTCTCGATATTTTTACGGGAGGGTTTCTCTTTTACGTCCTGAGAATATTCATTGGAAGTGTTCTCTTGCGTCGCTGGGAGTTTCGCGAGACACTTCTTCGGCATCGTTTGGGCGTTACCGTAGTGGCACGACTGGGTGCATTGGACGGAGTCTGAGGAGGACTGTACTGCTTGCTGCGCGGACGAGCCATAATGATTCTAAAATAATAATAAGTGTTTAGGTGTAAAACGATATCTTTATTTGACGAATCTCAGCTCAACATGATTTATCCGACATATTTTCCGTCACACCAGTTTGCTACACCAGGGTAGATTGAAAAGTTCCCGACCTGACTGAAGAGAAAAAGCGAGTGATTTTCTCTAATTATATATAATCACATACAATCGTTTTTTTCCCCCGGGTTATTTTCAGCGAGACGAATTTTCATTCTCACGCAGTATCGCGCATAAATGCATCATATTTCCTTTCATCATTAGTATCTTCTTAACGGAGTGACTCAATGCTGGTATGTTTTGCATATAGAATTAACAAATAGAATGCCGGAGGAGGAAGAAAAAAAAGACTCACCGGGTCAGGCGGGGAAAATACTTTCGCCCCCATTTTTCTCCCGTCAAAGTAAGTGTCCCCTCGACACACACACAAGTTACTTAGTACTTCCCGGCTAATCCTACCTCGGTCGAGCGTCTCACACGTTCAACATTTTTTGCAAAGTCTGCTATGCCGGATCGCGCGTCCCGCCGATTATAGATGTCGGCACACGCTCGTCTCTTCTCTTTGCGGAATTCGCTGAACTAGTTTTCTCGCAGCGCGGGGAATGCTTCTATCCTCCTTATAACTGCACCGGCATCAATTCAGCTGGAATCACGAGTGTTATCGGTCGCAGAATTCAGGGCAATAATACCTCGGCTATCTGAAAATTTTCGTGTTTATTCCCCTCGGCTACATGCTGATGTTTACACAATGACCCGCTTGACCTTTTGGTCTATTACCAATAGACTACATAAAGTGCTTGAAATTAATCGTAGTACATTCCGTAATACAGTTGTTAACTCGTAATTTGCGTTATGTATGCATCTTACACATCGCGAGAAAATAATTCGATCAAGCATTTCGTATCGGTCCGGAACATCGAGAAAAATACGATCTTCGTGAATCGAGGATAATTTTATTTGAAATTTATCTGAAATTCACTTTATACAAATGCCGATTTATCTTCAACAATATAACGCGAGATTTCTCTTTAATCTCTACAAAGCGCCGTTTGAAAAATTTCCACATTATTTCCCGAAAGTAAATAATGGCACAATTTGATAGTAGTCGAACTACAATGTGTTGATAACGAGTATCTTATCTCGTCACAAATTTAAAAAGTACCGGACTCTGCACGAAACATGTGGCTATACGAAAGAATAGGGAAGCGACGGGTTTTCCCCAACGCAACGAATATTTCACGAAGTGCGGTGCGATCGAGAGCAGAAAATTAATAACTAATTAATAACTAATAATAACATCTCTTTATTCTTAATCGGTTGGATATATTTTGTATTTTGTGAGAACAAGAGAGGGGAAGAGAGAGAGAGAAATTCCTATAAGCGCGCAATATTCCTAGAATATTACATGAATGTAATTCAAATATTATTGAAATAATATTCTTATATTCTAAGAATGTTATGTAATATTTTATATTACATAATTTACATTATAATATTCTTATATCATAAGAATGTTATGTAATATTTTTAATATTACAAAAATGTTCTATTGATGTTATATGCCCACTTCGCATAATATTCTTGGCGTATTATAAAAATGTCCTTGGAATATAAAAAAAATAATAATAATATAGAAAAATACATGTATAATTTTTTAAAATATAAAACTTATTTTTACACAAAATTCCTTCGACTTTATTCATATAATAAAACGATATTGCAATATATTTGGAGTAAAAAACTACACATAGAGTTGAATATTAAAAACAAATATATAATATTACAATAACATTAGACAATATTATTTTTTTAATATTATTAAGAACGGACATAAAATCATGTATTAATATTCCAGAAATATCAGATTACTTAACATCAAATAATATTACGCGCTTATAGGGATACTATCCATGTGGACCTTCGCCGGTTGCACGTGACTCACACTGCGCAGCCGTAGCACACACGTGCACACACGTGTACACACGTCCACCGCCGGCTGCATGCTGCGACGTACACACACGTAACCACCGGTTACTTGCGAGACGCGAGAGAGTCCGCTGAAAACCAGTCCTAGGAACTGACTTATTAACGAGCACGCATTCGTTATTCCTCTTCGATCTCGTTGCACACGTCTCCGATTGGTCTCCGCGAATCGACTCCGATCGCGTCGCCCCTTAGATCGCCTTAGATTAATACAGCTAGTTAATCAAAAACTTTAACGTTCGTCACAACGAGCGACCGACTTCGTGTGACCCTGAACTGACGAAATTCGCGCTTAGCTTCGTCTTAATTACGGTATTATGCAAGAACTAGTCTCTCTCTCTCTCTCTATCTTTCTGTCACAACGCTGTCCGTCGCACGAATGTTCGTAGGTTCGTGCTCTTATCGACGACGACGGTTTTACGTAATCGACGTGTGGAGCCTCGACGGCGCGACGGCGCGACTCGCACATCGGACGATTCATGGGGGATGATGAAATCGGCTGAAAGCATGCATGCGCGGAAACCGCCGCGGGACCGCATCGCGGGAAACGCGCTCTCGTGCGATTTCGCTTCCTCCAGGTAGACGTTCGTGCGAACGTTAGCCACGTGCACTATCACCCCAAAACGTCCGCCGCGACGCTTCGCCGCTGACTGCGAAGGCAGCCTCGGGTCAGACGGGTCATCCCTGCGGGCGATGAAACCGCGGCGACATCTCGCGGTGCGCCGGGCAAATTCGCCCAATGATCTCCGTCGAGAGACTTCGCGAGCAAATGCTGCTTTTCGCCTTCGTTTTTTCGATTATATACTTCGATCACTTCCGTCAGAGGAGCCTGAGAGAGCGGCTAAAGAAAAGAAATTATAATTTAATATTATAATAATATAAGAATCTACTTCACATTATATTCTTGGCATGTTATAAAAATGTTCCTAGAATATTATGGAAAAAATTAAAATAACAGTAATATAGAAAAATATATATTGGATATATAAGGAAAATGTAAAAATTTTGTTTGGCACTCGGCGACGCCAGGCTGAGACAGATATATTTTGTGTCATTCTAACTTATAGCGTCCGGTTCAACAGAGCGGTTAAAAAGAACAGACCGAAAGATATCGATCCTCCGGTGTGTTCTCGCGGGAAATTTGAACGGTCCGACACTCTCAGGTCGCTGTACGGATTTATCGCGATATTTCTGTCGTTCTTCGCGAACTGTCGCGAAACTCCGCGCATTCGAACGTCTTGTGGGCGATTAATACATACACAGCTGTATCGAAATTTATTTATATTCTTCAAACATGAATAAATATAGAAACTTCGTAATCACATATATGCAATAATTTATATTTTTAAATTTCCAAATATAGGTCATATTTTCACGTTCATATTTTCGCGATCTAATTTTCATGAGAGGAAAAAACAGGAAGTTCGGCTTGTTTGAGTAATTCTTTTGAGCCTGTAGGCATCTTAGTTAAAGATGACTTTAAGACGTCTTAAAGATGTCTTAAAGACGTCTTACGTCCCAGTTCTAGGTTTTGCGCTGTCCGGATTATTAAGAAAGAGAGAAATGCAGCGTGTATTTATCGATTTTATTACAAATTTATTTCTCATGTCATCAGTATGTTAATCACGGCGCGCAATTATGACTATGATATATAGATGCGTGTGTGTTGTTTTTTTGGTTTTTCAGTAAAGACTGAAGACTTTAGGCCATCGAAGTTACATCAACATTTTTCTCGAAGCGACAACGAATCTCTCTCGCTTTCGTCTCGTGCACTTTCGTGATTTCAATTACCAGCCTTTCGCACATCGATCCATCGTATCATTATGTATTGACTATAAGATCGACGCGACGATGTGCGTCGAAATTGTAGAGAAGTTTGCGCATCTCCTTATGGCGCGGAAATCTAGAAAGAAGGGGAAACGTTTCCCGCGTCTCGGCCGCGTTCCGATAGATCGAAGATCGATACATTCCCGATTCTCGTGGAACAACTTCTAGTTGCAAGTAGTTAACGCACATCGTCGACGACGTTGCACATTTTTCGCATACGTTGCATCCGGGCAACTTCTTTATTTTCCATCATTTTTCCTTAACGAAGATTGTGAGAAAACTGGGGTGAATCTCCGGAAAAAACTTACACAGTACAAATAATCTCGATGCAACACGTTTTCATTCCACCTGATTCGAGCGCTGATTAGGGGAAAGAAGAGCAAGATGACTTTAAGGTTAGTCGACTTCTCCTCATTTTCACATTGCGTAAAAATAACAATCAATTTTGCGACCTCTTGCCCGCATATGATATTCGCATATGACGTCATCTTATCCCATTTATTTCATCAAATTAAAATAATAATGCTATATAAGAAGTAAACAATACGTTATTATATGCGCTTTTAGATATACTATGCGGTAGTTAGAAAGTGGAAATATTTACTATATAATTGTGTAAAATTCTCTATGGAAAAATACCACAAATATAGGTTAGGTAATCAAAAAATATAGGTTTTAATCACTAACAGCACTTCACACGAGTAATTAATTTCTGAGAAAGACTTCGCATCGGTAATTTATCGCTAAAGTTCTGTAGTCGATCAGTGATTATTATTGTCGTCATTATCACTTAATTATTCTTTATTAATAACATTATTAGTGTATCTGTAATTTAAGTACTCAAATTAATTAGGCATTAGTAATAAAATTACCGAGATACAATGATTTGTTATTAACCAGCCGATAATTCTTTTCTGTAGGAGAGATCGAACTACAACAGATCACTTATTATTGTTAAAAGCCTCTAATAAGTCGGGTACCGATTCGTTATTAGTTATTAGCTTCGAGAAATTAGCAAATCGTCATCTTACCTATCTTGTCATCTTTCCCTTGCTCTAAAACCTTACAAGTGCGTAATATTCCTAGAATATTATATGAATATTATTATATGAATATTATGTGAATATTATTCATATAATATTCCTATAGTATTCTAAGAATGTTATGTAATATTTTTAAATATTATAGGAATGTTCTATTGATGTTATATGTCCACCTCACATAATATTCTTGGCATATTATAAATATGTTCTTAGAATGTTAAAAATAAATATATATATACCAAAAAAAGAAATATATATATACCAAAAAAATTATATCCATATATGTGTATATATATAGATATAATTTTTTTGGTATAAGACGTATTTTTATACAAAATTATTTCGACTTTATTTACATAATAGGACAATTAGCATTGCAATAGACATTTGAAATAAAAAATTACAATTATATATATTACATATATACACAGAGTTGAATATTAAAAAAATACATAATATTAAAATAACGTCAAATAATATTATTTTTCAAATATTTAGGAGTGGACGTATAACCATCATTAATATTCCAGAAGTATTGCTTAATATTAAATAATACGCTCTTATAGGGAATAAATAAACTCTCGAAAATATAGGTCGAAGCCAAGTTCGCTCGAATCGCGTAAGTTTTTCCTAAAGATTCCTCCTCGATATTAAAAATAAAGCCCTTTCCTCGCTTATACTTAACTTGAAAATTCCTCGAGGTTCTCGAAACCTTATCGAATTAGGTGATAATGAGGCGTAGCATCCGTATACGATTTTCGCGGCGCCATTGACCGGGTGTTGCCGGGTACGTGTCGTCGTTATTCGGGCGATTAAACTTTTTCCTCGCTAATAGGCTCTTAGAGTGTAACACGTAGTAGATGAATACGTATGACGTAAGACTTACACAATTATTCCGCGCGACAATAATTCCTCGATGTCGACGAACCGAACGGGGATCACTTGTGCCCCGACACCGGATTTTATTCGTTTCCGCGTGACTCAAGGAAAGGCCGTAATCGACGGATTGAATTTACAACCGATGCACATCAAGTATGTTCACTTCAGAGCTCGTCGGTTCCGGCCGGCACAAATGATCCGTTGCTCGTTAATCGGTCGATCGATTCGATCATCCCGGGAAAAAGAGGGATCGTACGTGAAATTTGCCCGTGTATGGCCAATGCCGATAATCATACATGTCCACAACGAAAAAATATTATTGTGTACACTATATGCTTCTGACACGTGATATCGACATTTAATTAAATGACATAATTTTTATCGTACGATCATACATGTAACCACACGTATGGACGAACAATTTAGATGTGATTTCATACAATTACATGCAATCATATATAATCATTTTTTCCCGAAGCATCACTCCGTCCCGACGGAATTACACGTTACACGACTAGCATCATCTCTTACATGTCGATCAACATTTAACATTAGCTGGACCCGCCAGCGACATTGAAATTCTCACGACGGCAATTTAGACTCGAGACGCTCTGACTTACATCTAATCACCCACCGATGCGTCGATTACTTAACCGTCGGTGATCAGCCCGACCGAGCAAGCTAAGTTCGTATACACACACACACATACACATGCACACAGAATTCGATCATTTATTTAACACTCTGCTCAGCCCGGACGATCCGATGCCGTCGTTACCGTGACGCCTTGTCGGACGAATCAATTAAATTACGTGACGCACACCTGCTTCGCTAATCAATTAAATTGATCATCGATTAGACTTGTCAAAATATTTCTCATGAACACACACACACACACACTCTCACTCTCTCTCTCTCTCTCTCTGTCTTTCGTTCTATAACAAATATAATTCTCCCTTTGCTCATCGTGTTTCTGGTGAGAGGTCGCGTAGCGATCACAATGGATCGATATGTATACTCCGTGATCGAGATGATCTGGATCGGCGTTGCCGATAGATATATAACATATAACCAACCGTTAATTAACATCTATACACTTTGGCCAAATTTGTACATGTGCTTCCAAGCGCCCCGCGTATACATACATACATATTTACATGCCTGCGAATACACTTCGATTCACTTAACATCGAATGTTGCGGAACGTTTTTGTTCAAATTCGCTCAGCGTAATTCGGATCCGACAATCGATCGTCTTTCTCTACACATCCTTCCTCGGAGAATGGATGAACCTCGAGGCCGATTCGGTCGAGCTCTCGTTTATTGACGCGCAACAAATTTCGAATACGGGTACGCTTCGCTCCAATTATCATTGCGTCTCGGCTGCGAATAAAATCGAGCTCCTATAAGCGCGTAATGTATTCCTAGAATATTATATGAATATTATTCAATATTAAAATAATATTCTTGTAATATTCCAAGAATGTTATGTAATATTTTATAATATTATAGGAATGTTCTATTGATATTATATGTCCACTTCACATAATATTCTTGGAATATTATAAAAATGTTCTTAGAATATAAAAAAAATGAAATAATAATAATATATAAAAATATATAATACATAAATTATATATATATATTTTTTATAATTTTTTTAGTGTGAAACGTATTTCTACAGAAAAATTTCTTGACTTTATTTATATAATAAAACAATTGGTATTATAATACACATTTGAAATAAAAAAATTACAATTATATATATTATATATATACATAAAGTTGAATATTAAAAAAAATATATAATATTGCAATAACATATTAAATAATATTATTTTTTAAATATCATTAGAAGTAGACATATAATTATCTATTAATATCTCAGAAATATTACTTGATATTAAATAATATTACGCGTTTATAGGGACGTTACTTTTTCTAGTATCCGAGAAAACGTCGATGTGCGGGTTTAATACAATTTCATTCGCTTTTATTCAATCCCAGCTCCACGCAAAGTATTTGTATCCTTTGATGTTTGCGGATTCATCAGTCCCGCTTTGTCACGGTTTGCAGTGATCAAAGTTTCGCGTTTGTTGCATCCCCGTTTCTTTTGTGCCCCGCGAGAGAGCAAAGGTTCAAACGGTCGATCAAATAATTCGTTCGCCATGCAGCATCGCTTTTTCGACCGGCCTTATCGAGATTGGTTTTAGTTCAACGTCAACGAGCACCTCATTTTCGTTTATATATTGTGCCTCGATAATATATCGTGCCTCGGCGTTTTCACGTAAAATACGCACGATAAGTTGCTCGATAACGTCGCGCAATTTCGTTAAAACTTCGCCGGCCGGGAAACCCCCGCTAACGCAGGAAGTATCGTTTATCCGATACCTGCAGCCCTTTTTGCATCTTCGTCCGCTTTATCTTTTCAATTACGCAAATTTTGCTTTCTCGCTGGGTCCTTCAATAATCCTGACGCTGAAATTCTCTGGCTGCCAACGGCCGAGAAATCGTTAAAAGCTCTTTTATCGTTTTTTTCGTGAGAACTAGAATTTTACTGTGAAGTGAAAAAAAAACTTATTATTTTAAATCACAGAATAAGAACCGAAATAGTGAACCGAGAAGAACCGTAAACCGAAGAAAATTTAACGGTTCTATACAGACTTTGTTTAAAATTTCGGCACGGTTTACAATTCTAATCCGACAAAAGTACCGGTTTTCGGTTCCGGTCCGGTCCAGGTCCTTGATTATGTCATTGAAATTTCATAAGTCAGTACAATTAACGTAAATTCTATTATCTACTAGAAGGACCAGCACGATGATTTTACGAGAAGTCGACGCAACTGTACGAAACGAAAAACGACGAAGCTCACTCTAGTCCTCGGAGGCGGCTACAGTCGTCCAATCGAATCGAATCTACGGTTATCAGCTTCATTCCACGTGGTCCCCTTCTTGTTAAAGCAAACTGTCTCTACGCGTATGATGAAGTTCGTTTGTCCACGGTTTCGTTGTATGAGACTTAACGCTCGATCTCGTGTCAATCTATATTCACCCATGACAGACAGACTCCCTTCGTATCGACTAAAGTAACGTCCGACTCGCAGGACGCGTCGCGAGATAGATTAATTGTACGATTAATTAATAGGAGGACTATCAAAGACAGTCGGGCGAAATAAATAAAAGCGTTCCATTCGTTAGAGGCCGGTTGACCGTTTACGGACGGTACTCGATGACTCTACTTTGCGTGTACGCGCCTCGGAAATTACATGGCAGAGACGAATCTCTGGGCCACACATATACACAAATATACGCACACATACACGCACACACACGCACACGCACATCTCTGGGCTCGAGTATTCATGGAAGAAGTCTTAAGTGGCGCAGGAATTAACCGATACTTTCTGGCATGCCGTCCGTCACGAATTGTTGCTCGAGCTTTCCTACCTGTTAACATTACCAGTTCATGAAAAAAAAAGTACGTTCATTTCTTCACAAAATAATCTCCAAAATCAACTTCCGAGACATTTGACGATATTCAAGAAACACCCCGTATATCCATTCGTTTGCCACGACAGCGTAAAAATTTGCTCGCCCTCCGAATTATTATTTTTTTTTCTGTGTGCGTATTTACTATAACATCGGTCGTACGGTTAATTTAAGTTTCGATCGACTTTCGACTAACTTCAACCAAGAATCGGATAACACAATCAATGTTACCAATTAACGTGAAAATGACTGAAATTACCGGATACATCGACGATACACTACCGATCACACGACGCCGTTGCTGGCTGCCGTTTTCTCCGCGAGGTCGGTGTTGTTGTTGGAATTCGTCCTGGCGGTCGCCAGCTCGTTGGAGGTGTCCCTCCTCGGCCCGTCCAGGAAGTAAGTGATCATACTGCCCTTCCCTTTGACCTCGATCTCGCCGCGACATGTGAGCGGATACCCCTTGGCGACCAGTATATCGCGCACCTCCTGGGTGAGTTGAATCGCGTCCAGCACGCCCGTGGAGTCCATTCTCGATGCCACGTTCACGGCGTTGCCCCAGATGTCGTACTGCGGCTTCCTCGCACCGATCACGCCGGCGACCACCTGCGCGAAACCGTCGCATTAATTTCCACCATTCCCCCCCCCCCCCCCCCCCCCNATGTCGTACTGCGGCTTCCTCGCACCGATCACGCCGGCGACCACCTGCGCGAAACCGTCGCATTAATTTCCCCCATTCCCCCCCCCCTCCCCCTCCCCTCGAGATCCCTTAACGGTCTTCATCTATCTGAGGGATTCTTTCCGTGGCCGGACTCAGGTGTGCCACGGATCTTAGCAGCCGAATTTAGATCGGAGGTGTTACTTCCGGACGAATAAGAATTTATACGAAATACTGCTTTTTTTCTGTTTGAAAATTTCTAAATTTTGAAGTTGTGTAAAAAAAAATTCAAGATCATTCAGATTTCACGTTCGCAGTGTCGAGAATTTTCGTCGGGTCCGTTTAGTCCTTGTTGTCGCAATTATTATAGTCGTCGGACTTTCGGGCCGTCCGCATACGCGGATTATTAATCGCGAGGGGAGCGACGACGCGCGGCCGAAAATATTACTCGCTTCTCGCGCTCTCTTCGACACATTACCGGTCCGATGTTGATGCCCACACGCATGCGGAAGTTATTAAAGCTGTGTTCGTTGACGTAGGCCAGCTGCTCGCGAATCCTCAGGGCGTAATCCGCCATGGCGACCACGTGCTTGAAATCCCGCATGTCGCAGGTGCTTTTCGTTAAGCCTGGAGGAACAGAGAGAAAGAGAGAGAGAGGAAGGGAAGGGGAGAAGAACAAGAGTGAATTCCTCCGCGATTCAATTAGCGCGACCGTCTCGTTAGGGAATCGTTTAAGAATCAGTGCGAAAGGTCGAGCGGCCGTGGAAAATCGGATTTGGCCTTCTCCGTGTGTCGTTCGGAAGACTCTACTGGAATTAAGGAGATACTTTCATTCGGAACGTTTCGCTTGGTAGATGATTTCTAGGATTTCTTTCTTTTAAGCTGTAAGCAGCGTTTGGTGTCTAGATAAAATTATCCAAATAATCATCCAGATGTATAAATAGATCATCTTTATCTTTATCTGGACGGAAGAAATATAAAATATATTTATCTTAGATAAAAGAAAAAAAAACATGTTATCGTTCGTACACGTTATATAAAACGTAGAGATATTTGTGTAAAACCTCAGAATCGCATGTAATTGTATCTTTATAATGTTTTTTCCCCCAAAAAATTTCGAAAGATCCGCACGAAAACGATGTTTCAAATGATCTCCTTAAGATGGAAATTCCTTGACGCGAAGGGAGACACAGGCGAGACTCCGATTAACGTTAATACGTTAAAGGTAGAAAAGCGCGCGGAAACGACCGTCAGGATTTGAATCAAAGTATCCCTGAGAATTCACAGGGACGGATACATACCCGACGCGGCCATGTACGTCGCACCTGTGCTCTTGATCTTCTCGATGTACTTGAACTGCTCCTCGGCGAGCAAGTCGTCGAAGTCAGCGATGATCTCATTGAGGAGCCTCAGGCATTCCACGCCCTCGTTGTTCGCCTCGAGTTCGACGTAGAACTCGGAAAAGTTGGGAATCGATGCGAACATTATGCACACAAAGTCGCATTGTTCGTGATACAATTCCTGCGGAACAATCGACGGTACAATCGTTCGTTACTCTGGTAAATCCAGCGGATCGAATAAGGATGACAATAATGACAATAACGCCGAAATAGAGATCGATAGGCGGTAATTAGCTGACGGTGAGCTCTGAGATTCACACCGTTCCCCGCTGTTCACCTTAATTATCTCGAAGGTGTATTTGTACCTCGGTGGCGAGATTGAATTTTAAGCGACCCGCGAAAAAGGTCGTGTTCGTTGCGGAGCCCTCGGTGAGTCCCCCGTATCGCGTGCGGTTGGAACGGAAAATTAGCACGTAAAATGAATAGCAGTCGCGAGTCCTTCGGTCCCGACAGGCGATTTTCTCCTCTCTCTCTCTCTCTCTTTCGGAACTTTCTGAACAGAGCTTACGTCCGAATTGACGGTAGATAGGAAGTGGGCGGCCACGTGCTCCGGTAGTATATTCGCGAGCAATTTCTGGTTGTAGGCCTTCAGATGCTCCATCTCCTCCTTCTCCTCGGTCGCTTGCAGCTTCCACAGGAAGTCTAATCTGTATTGGCACACGGTACATTAATATCAATCGCCGATGCTTGTCACGCGGCTTACGGCTACGTTGTCGTATAGCGTGAAAGCGATTGAGTTCGTTCGACCTGTAGGTCGCCTCTGTATGCTGTGAATGTGCCACCAGGCAGGCCATGAAGAAAACCACCAGAACGCCCGCCAGCCATCTCCCGGCTGGGTCGACATTGTCCTCCTTCAGCGCCTGGTAAATGCTGATCCCGAGATAACACGCCACGACGAAGCTCAATACGGCCACTTTGAAGACCGACGTTAGGATTTGGTACACCGCGCACGTCACCATCACCAGCATCACCAGAACCGGGAACAACTGCAATCAACCGGCGTATCAACGGAGCGGTCAATTCGCGATGAACTCACCCCCTCCCCCGTCCGCTTTCCCGAAACGCTCAGTAGAGGGTAGAGATTGAAAAGTTTCCGAGCTGACTAAGAAGAAAAGGAAGATACATTTTTTTTCGTTCTCTCCCGTTCAACTTACATCGCAGAACATTCTGTAGTAACAACTGTCCGAGACGGTATTCATATTTTTCATTAGGATGGAGTTATCCGACGATTCAGCGGCGACGGGTGAAGCGTTGTTGGCGCAGGTGTCGCTCCCTTCCAGCATAATCCGCGGCTGGAAGAAAAATATAATGGAGATCGCCCGTTATTTTGCCGCAAGGAAGTTTCGCGTCGCAATTTCTTCGGCGGTTAGAAAATGTGTAAGATCTGGGAAATCCCCCCCCCCCCNGAAGCAAGTTGATAACCGACGTTACATTTTCTTTCGCGCGATTCTGCTGGTATAAGAAACGCGTTAACAACTAGACTGTTTTAACCTTTTCTTGAAAAAGATAATTTTGCTTATACGTTACGAATTGAGAAGACCTCGCTGTCTGAATTTACTCACCAGTGGCGACAGCACCGTGATGAACGTCAGGAACACGATGATGGAAGCGACGCCTCGCGCGACGCCGCGATTTTCGAAGATATGCAGGGCTGCGCTTCTCATCCACGCCGGTACTCTCTGTAAGAAGTACACGATGACTTCTGTTCCTCCCCTCTCTTCTCTCTCTCTCTCTCCTTCCCTCCTTTTTCATCCGCTAATTAAATCTGATAAATTCACAATTAACGCAGTCCCTGCGGGGAGTCCTATTGCAAAATCGACGGACGCGCAACGACAAGGATCGATGGTTTAAGCAGCGACCTGGAATTCTGCCACCTGATCAAGGTCAAGAGGAAGTGGCATGTTTCCAAAGAGCCATCGATCGGTTACAGGATACGTGTTGTATCTCGCGATTTATTCAATTCATCGCGTATTCACGTATATATATATCATATATGTACGTGTCCCAAGACAATATATTTTCGCGTCTCTCGCGCGGCAAACGAGATAATGAGAAAGTGTAAACGCGAGATCCCTCGAGATCCCGAGCACGTCGTGGAAGACTCGTCGCGGAACTCTCACCTCGTTCTTCTCCGCCAACAGAATACCGTTGACCATGGCTATCAGCAGTATGCTAATCGCGGTGCTGGCGTAGAAATATTCGTTTCTGTAAAAGACGGAAGAGGAAGACGCATGGAAGTCTGAACTCTCTGCTTCTGGGAAACGCACTAGTGTTTATTTATTTATGTACGCGACACGCATAGAAATTTCTCAAGGTTTTCCCCGATATTGCATTTAGATTCGGAATAGAATGGTCCAAAGTTGCTTTAGAGTTAACCCGCTACGGTACCAGCTGGAAATTCCCATTTTATCCCCCAAAGCATGGGATGAAACTTCCCTCACACAATGATGATTGGCTGTGTGCTTGCTTTTGCCTTCTAACCAGAACCTGCGTAGGGATTTTCCAACTAGGTTCCAATTGTTTAGGGAAGTTTCTCTGAGAAGGATCCCAAGAAATTTTCTATGCGAGACATTCTCTACATCGACCGAGCGTCAGGTCGTTTTTTATAAAAAGAAGCTTGTTAATATCGAAACGCTCGAGTGTCAACGATAAAACGGGAGTTGACGTGCATCCTTATAAGCGCGTAATATTATTTAACATTAAATAATACTTCTGAAATATTAATAGATGGTTAGATGTCCATCCCGAATAATATTTAAAACATAATATTATTTAATGTTATTGTAATATTATATATTTTTATAATACGTCAAGAATATTATGTGAAGCGGATTTCTGTAACATCGAAAAATATTGCATAACATTAGAATACTATAAGAATATTATTTCAATAATATTTAATGATATTCACATAATATTCTAGGAAGATTACGCGCTTATAGGGATATTGTAGCGCGACTATAAAAATTGCAAAGACGTCGCGCGGCTTACAGAAGGCAGAATTTGTATTGGACATGTGGTGGTATTTACCCGGCGAGGCCGGTGATGGCCATCGCAACCACGACGACCATGTAGACGAAACCGGAACACACGAAGTAAGCCGAGAGCATCCTGTCCCTCTCGCGCGAGTACTGCAACAGGTTATTAAAACAATTGCGATGCTGCGTATTGTTTCACCCTGTTTGTAATACCGCACGCCCGCCGCATAACGGATGCGCCCTTAACCGCAGCTTTTCCGATGCGATGCATACAATTCGACGCAGCGGGTAACTTCAACCGCGACAGAAATGCGGATTTTCATTTAAAGCCGATCACGACGCGCGCGCGGGACTCGAAATCAGCGTCGGAATCGGGATAATCCAAACGCGCGAATTAACCAAAATGAAATTTAAACGGACTTCTATTAGAGCGCGGATTACCGCCCTGATCGTGTTTAATTATATACACGCACTGTGCACACTTTGTCGAGATAGTTTGCTGCTGTAATTACAGTCCTCGTCCAGCGCTTGTCTCGTTAAATTAAATCCCGTCCCCGTAAAATCGAGAAAAGGTAATAATAATTCGGACAGAAATATTCTGTAAACATGTAATATTATTTAATATTAAGTAATGTTTCTGGAATATTAATAGATGGTTATACGTCCGCTCCTAATAATATTTAAAAAGTAATATTATTTAATGTTATTGTATAATATTATATGTTATTTTATAATATTATATACTCTTTAAATACTCAACTCTATGTATATATATAATATATATAATTGTAGTTTTCTTATTTCAAATATATTGCAATACCAATCATTTTATTATATAAATAAAGTCGAAAGAATTTTGTGTAAAAATACGTTTTATACTAAAAATATGATATATATGTGTATATATATATATTTTTTTTTTATTTATATATTTTTCTATATTATTTTTTCTTCAATATTCTAAGAACATTTTTATAATATGCCAAGAATATTATGTGAAGTGGACGTATAGTATCAATAGAACATTCTTATAATATTAAAAAATATCACACAACATTCTTAGAATATTATAAGAATATTATTTTAATATTGAATAATATTCACATAATATTTTAAGAATATATCGCGCTTGTAGGGTACATCGTTGCGTCAAAGTGAGAAAAAGATCGCCGTGAAGTTCCCGGGGATGGGGATGGTTCCCGGAGAAATTATCAGTAGAAGTGAAATCAAGCAAGTGACGTGGGCATTTTGGTTGAATTTTAGGATATTCAGATGTGAAACCTTTTCCTCGACGTCCGGTCTTCGAAACGTCAATATGAAGGGTGTACAATGCTCCGCTCTCAGGCGATCTATGCTCCTAGCGTCGATCGCTCGCATCAAGTACTCGTTCACCTCGTCTTCGGGATCCTTCTCACCCTCGCGTGAACTACTCTCGCCGAAGCCTAATCTACTGAAAGTGTTAGAACATTTATTTTCAGACTATTTGCGACAAGCGTTTTATCGTTTTATCGTATTTTGCAGCAACAGAAAAAGAGGTATAATTTGGAAATCATTCATTGATATATAAAATATTGATATATCATCGATGATTATAATAGTTGCGATTATTTTTTAATCGCCACAGAATTAGGATAATTTGAACGTCGAGATCTCTAATCGAGAAGAGGGCAATTTACTTTTACAATAATGTAAATTGACAATAATATAAATTACATTTAATATAAATTAAATTTGCTTTCGAACGATTATATTCTCTGTGATCTCCATTATTTCTGCGATCTCCATTATCTCAATACGATTAAAAGAGAGGTCAAAGTATCCGTTTTAGTCAATGGAACGTTAAAATGCCAATCAATTAAGTCAGAAGAAATGTTCTTGTATCAGCATGATATCCGTAAATTAATTTAATCGCCATTTCGTTCGCTCTCTAATTTTTGATAAATTGAACGAAACGAGGCTCAAGTAACGGGACTATATTGCGTGATAACTAAGAGGAGAGGATCAAGTGACGACAACAATAAAAGAGTTCTTACTTAGTCTGTTTTCCGTGTTGCGAGCCGTGACCCATAACTCTCATTTCTTTGGACACATTTCCATTCGCCGGGAAGCCCTTCCGTATCCCGGAAGTAGTTATGTTGTCCTTGAAAGTGTCTCCCGGGACAATTAGATAGGTACTGATATTATGGTCCTTCAGATACGCGTTCCTCTCACCCCCGCGACCCTCCTCGACCTCGTAATATCCGCCCAAGCAATCTAAGGTTTCTTTCGTGATGTGTACGCGTCTGCGAAATATCACACATACCGTCTCTGTCTAATATTAGCGTCATCGTAACTTTGCTGCTACATCGAACGAAGATTGCCTCTTAACGGGAAAATAGCAAATTTACCGCACACGCGTAATTCTCGGCCACGCGCGTCCTCGCTTCCTATTATTCAACATCGAATTTCACAAGAAATCGCGAAAGAAAAGTCCCTGTAAGCGCGTAATATTATTTAATATTAAGTAATATTTCTGGAATATTCACAGATGGTTATATATCCATCCCTAATAATATTTAAAAAGTATTAAGGAAACGCAGAAAAGACATAAGAAACACGTGTGATTCATCGCCATCAGTTAGAGCCGACTTAAAGGGAATGAAGTTCACTGGAGGAGGGCCGACAAACTTCGAGTACAAAATTGCCTGTACTCACCCGGGTATCCCTCCGCTCTCCATGTAATTGGCCAGGGTCACGTCGTTACTCCAAACATCGAATTGCCATTTCCTCAGTCCCAGAACACCGCAGTGAACTCGGCCCGTGTGAATGCCCACTCTCATATTCACGTTTACGGCCATTACCTCGCGAACCAATCTACAAGAGACACGGGGGGGGGGGTTTATTGATATTCCTATCTGTCGTTACGGACGGAATGGAGGACAGACGGACAGACAACGACGGATTCCAGCCAAAGTTGAAATTTCTTCGCCGTTAAAAGTGTGTTTACTACAGGGGGATCACGACGGTCCTCGAGGAGGTTATCGACAAACTTGGAGAGAGTGATTTCGCGTCTCCACTGTGTCGGCCGGTTTGTAAAAGGAAGGGAAGAGGGATTGTTTACGCGCTTCCGATTCTTCCGTGACAATGGAATGGAACGTGGCTCGTGGCTTGTTTTCGTGCACGCCGCAATCGCGTTCCCTTCTACTCTTCTCTACCCTTTTTATTTCCTTTTTATCGTTTTACCACAGTCTTTTCGCGGGTGTTCGACTAAATCGAAATTTTTGATTCCACGTTGAACCTTTAATTCTACAACGGTAGGAGCTGAGATGGCAAAATAGAATGGATTTCAATTCTAATATAGTTACAGTGATTTACATAACAGTTACAATAATTTGACCCTACTTTGATCCTGATGACGGTGATGTCGCAAATTTTCTTCCCGCTGTTTCGACGTCAAAATAGGTCGTTCAAGGTGGGCATTAAATCTCGAATCTTTACACTGAGAAAAAAATCTAATATTGACGAACATTCGTTTACATATTTTTCCTCTCAGTGTGTAGAATTGAAAGTTCAAGAGGGAAAAATTAATGAAAAATTTCAGGGATCGTAATTGATTTGTCTTTTGTAATTCGACTGTGATCGGTCAACTTCTTAAGTCTCGAATTTTCATCGTAGACCCCGTTTTACTCGTGGGGTGAATTTTATCCACGTGGCCGGTGACCTGTGGACGCGTGGAGCTTTTAACGTATATCGACCTCATTTGTGAACATGTATGCTATATTCTCTCTTTCTCTCTCTCGCTCGTTCGCTCTCTCCAAGGAAATCTTCCTTTGGACGATGAAACGTGTTTTATGAAAGCACGAACTAAACGAACGAGGGAGGAGGGAAGGGGGGGAAGGATATGTCGGGAGAATACAGCCGTGTTGGAAGTTCCACGGAGCATCTTTATTGCAGGGCTGTTATTTTGGTCCGTTTAATCCGTGTTTCAGCACAGTCTTTGAGACACTTTATTCCCGAGCATATTTCCTCCTCCCACGCGTCTCCCTCGTTCGATTTGACGATGCGACGGGGAACATTGCGCGGATCTTTCTCGTTGGATTGGGACGCGAGATCGAATTACTTTCGTTATTTTATTATCTCGAATGTGGATCGTTCGAGCGCGTAGCTGCGGAGCATTCGGTTCCGCGCTCGGATCTGTCATCACGTGTCGTTCTTAACCCGGGAATAGTCGCCCGGGGTCGTTTTCTGACCTCAGCGATCGGAAAATGAAGCTCCCGTCGCGGTGGATTTTTTCTTACCGATCGTGAACTAATATGTATCTTTGATTTAGACTGAACTTTGATTTAGATTAAACAACAATAAATCATACAGCAATCGATAATGTTATATTCCGTTAGTAATAGCGGTTTCTAATTGAAGTCTAAATGATCGGTCAGGTGAGCGTTTACGTAAAAAAAGAAAAGAAAAGTGATCATCCCCGGGTTAACAAGCGGCGGCGTGACGCACAGTAACGACGTTGATTTTTTGACGATGCTGAATAAAGCGGGTAACGAAGTTGTCATCGTGTGGGAGATAAAAGCGCGCGTGCAGACTTACGTTATCGCATCGATCATGTCCAGTCCCATCTCTACGCAACAATAAGCGTGATCGGGCCGCGGATCCGGAAGTCCGGAAACGCAGTAATAGCAGTCTCCGAGGAGCTTTATCCTGAGGCAGTGGTGCTCAGCGGCTAGCCTGTCGAACCTGCCGGATATTTTTCTCGAGAATTTCACGTCACCGCTTTGCATACGCCGCGTTTACATTTCGCCGCAACTCATTTCGAAATTCCGGCGTTAATGCGGCGCGATCGAATAAGCGGGGCTGGTAAATACAATATCCGCGTCGAGTTAATTCAAGATGACGGGGAGACGGAGCGTCAACAAAAGTGGCGCGACACCGACGATAATCGGCCGATAATCGATTTATTCAGATCAGATATTCAGCAACGCGCCGCGCTACGTTCTGCGGCGGCGCGTATTTATGCGAAATTAATTCCGGCCGCCGGAAGGACGATATTAATACTTCACAGTGCGGCGCAAATCCGCGTACATACATAGCGCGTATTATATTAAACTAGTTCGGCGTGACAAACGCTAAATAACACTCCTGATGGAATTACGGGCACTGCGAGCTCGGAATGTGGTAATTAGATTACTCAGTAATAAATGTTACGGCCAAGTCTATGGGTGTGATAAATCGGTGATGATTTTTTGGGATTCATTATTTATACTGGAACGTTATATATATATGTATAACAACCTCCAGCGTTTATACAATATATATTGTGAATATACACGTATAGTTATGTTTATCTTGTATAGAAAATATCCATAAATTCGAAGCTTTGTTTGCTCTCTCTCTCTCTCTCTCTCTCTTTCTTTCTGTCTCGTTTAATATAACACAAGGATCACGTGATACACGAGCTTCAACCAATTTTTCTGGTAATATTGTAGTCGGAGAAGCGCCATCTAATACTCTTCCCGGAAATTGCTTTGACATTATTTATACATTAAGCTCTTCCCTGCCACTTATCCTCGAACGGTTCTTTCGGAGGGTTCGTTCTCGCGTTTTCTCTCTGTAGCAACGAAAGCGTTTCGCATTCGCGAAATCGCATTAAAGTGATCTCGATGCGCGGCTAAGAAGTTGAAATGATTAAGGACCTAAGTGAATTACAAATTTACCATCATCAGTATGCAAATACCTTTTTTCACACGCAAGTTTTTATTCCTTCCGCGTTAATTTTTCCTGTGACGTGCAATTAAAAATTCTCCAATAACATGCCGTATAATATTATTTAATGTTAACCGCGAGCGTTCGGACTCGTGCTCGACGGAATTGACGTTGGAAACACGACGTTGAGCGAAACGCTATTCGGGAAAGCGAGTTTCTCGCGCGACTTGAAAAACGTTACGTACGAATCTTATTCCCGCGTGAGCGCTTTCACGCAATCCAGATTCGCGTCGCACAGAAACGGTCGGATCAAAGGAACGTTCGTCGACATCACGCAATTCAATTTCGAGATTACAACACAAGGAGGCGACACGTACGTGAGATGCGCAAACGTGTGTCGAGGTCAGACCGCGCGACAAAACGCGACGCGATATTTCAAAGGGGATTTGTCGGATCTAAAGAGGATCCCGCAGATCGGAAACAAGAATGTTTACTGGGATATCAAGAGAATCGATGTGTGCCGGATTTGCGGGATGGGATGCGCCTGAAAACTCCTCGACGGCGGAAAAAAGAGCGGTAGGAAATCGACGTTCCGATCGAGTCGGAAATACCTGAGCGGTCGGACGCTCAAACTTCTCCTAAATGTCGCCGGGGTGGTTCGTGAAACGAGAACGGATGTCGATATATTCGCGACAGAACAACCGTGCGAATTTCTCGCGCGGTTTATTCGTGCGAAAGTACCGCATGGAAATCCGTTATTAATTTTTCATACGGTGACGTAAAACGGTGAAATTCGTCGCGCCTCTTACCGTGCAAAAAGTTCGTTGAGCAATCTGACGAGCTCTTCGGCAGTGCATTGATCGGAGAGCGAAGTGAATCCGCAGATGTCTGCGAATAGAATGCTGAAATATCGTCAAACAATGTTATATCACTGATGACTAATCATTTCAACACATTGTCGACTTATTTTTACGAGTATCGTAAGACCCGAGAGACGAAATCTTGGTTCTACGTTTAAAAGAGAAGTTAACAAGTGTCGGTATCGTTAAAATAAGGTTTTTACTAGTCTATAGGCCATTTAAATAGACGGGAGTTATCCTCAAGAGAGCTAAAAGCAACGTCAAAATTTCGACTCGGGTAAATACGACACGAATTTAATACAACAAAAATATATTCGAGGGGGAAGATTTTTTTTTTATCATTTTATTCTAAAGCCGACGAGCTACGCGGAACTACATCGGTACGATCGTGCGTGAGGGTGACGAAATACTGACGTGGAAACTGATTAAAGTTAAATGACATTTGCTCTTTGCAAATTTACCGGTCGAGTTAAATTGACCTGAGCTCGGCTAAGCGTGTACTAGATATCGGAAGTTCCGACGTTACGTCTGAACCCACTTCGTGCGAGTCCCACTTCGGGAGAATTCTCTCTCTCTCTCTCTCTCTCTGTGCAAGCGCGTGTATTTGCGTCAGCATCCACGGTAGCGTGATAAATCGTCTGGTTTCAAATTATCCGACATACGAGTACATAATTAAGCGATTATGCATGTAACCGTATGCATACGATACGTGCGATAATATTACTCGTAATAATAATAATTGCAGCGCTGTGACATCGCGACAACGCAACGGTAATTCTAACGAACCGTGTTAAATACGCCGGGCTGTGCTTCAAAACCGCCTCACGTACTGCGAAACACGTAGATTTTCGGAAATGCAAAGCTCGTCGTGTGACGCGTGAAAATAATAGAGAAGACTGAGAGAGGAATCCCGTTAAGATGTAATCATTTCGATCTTGACTACATTTTCCTCTGGTTTCAACCCGGAAAATAGCTGCAAGATACGACAGCGATATGCGTGTCGAGTTATTATCATTTGGCGCTATATATATGTTGAGAGAGAAAATATTGGAAAATGGGAAACATTTATTCGGCAGGTACTGGTAACGTCTATATGTACAAGGTGATTCACAAATGCATGCCCATATTTCAGGGGGTCAATCTACATGCTGAAATAAGTAAGAAACGTCGTATGAACATGTGTCCCACGTACCTTAGTTTTCGAGTTACGGATGATCAAGGAAAAACGTTCGAAATGCCCTCGCAGATCGTTCACTCGCGTCGAATACACGATAGATTTTACATGGCTCCGGAAATAAAAATCGAATGAATTGAGATGCCCGGTTCGATATCGATGGGTATTGGTTGCGAATATTAGACAAGGTCAAGACGTCAAGGCCGAAGTCGACGATCGTACCGAAGAGAATAAGGACTGCTCAGACGACTGCTCGCGCGCCATTGATATCAGACATACCTGACGTTCTCGTGTCTCTGAATGTAAATCTTGTGGAACATCGTGTCCTTCGGTTTCCCGGCGATGTCGGCCTTCATTTCCATGGCGACGTGCCTCGGCAGCACGCTGAGCAGCAGCCTCTCCTGCAAAATGCACGCACAATTAATATATAATTAATGCTCAAGTAGTGTCGCGGAATATTCGCGTTCGGCGTAATTTCGAAAGTACGAATTAACGACCCCGACTTTCACCGGGGGGTCAAAATGATAGCGGTGCAGCAGGTGAGATAAATGACTCAAGAGTCCGAGAGGCCTCAGTTTTCGAATCCCGGCGGTGATGAGTAAATTTCCCGAGTACAATTTAAATTGATAATAAATAATAAATTTAAATTAAACTAAGCAATTAAGGTCCCGTTCGCATATAATAATAATACATAATAATTAATAATAATTTAATAATATTTTTCTCAGCGTATATATTTCGCTATCGCCTCGGGTGAAAATACCTCCGCCTTTTTCGCCTGTTCCGTGCGAAATTGCGCTCCGTAAAATTTGAAGACAATATACCGCTCGACTGAGTTTTTCGACGAACGCAGAACCCCCCACCTGTACCTGTTGCTGATTCTCTCGCTGCGTGGTGAGACGAGCTTCGACACACTGCCGAGTCTCGAGGAACGCCTGTCTTTGCGCCAGTTCCCGTGGGTGATGCGTCAATGCGCCGGCCACGTTCGTCCCGCCGACCACCACGATCGAGCTCAACAGCTGTAGCAAAGATAAAGGTTTTTCTTTTTACGATCAGACTTGCCTGACACGTGCAAGACACTCCCAACCCTCTTCCCTGTTCATTTTAATTGGTCCCTGCGAGCGAGCGAGCGAGCGTCCGCCCGCGAAATTAGGTTGCGACTTTAACAGACAGAATAAGTAGGAGGAAAAAATTGGTCGGGAAGAATGCAAAATATTCTCCAAATTCATTCAGTGAAATAGATGGTCGAAAGATGGGTATCGATAGTTAAAGATCTTGATGAGCTGAAGATATACAGGTTGGAAGTCGATCTGATTTTTCGTTCAAATTAGTTTCGCGAATTTATAACGACGTGATTGTAACGGGCGTGTTCTTCGTTTTTGCGAACGGCGACGAAGAGGAACGAGGGAGAGAGAGAGAGTAGATTATCGATGTCACGGGGGTGAAGATATCATGAACGAGACTGCTAAGGAAAGCTTTAATACCGGATCAGTGGCCGTAAGCCGTGGGTCGGATGGGGGAGGAAAGGACGCGCCAGTAGGAAGAGAAAGTTTAATACTGGATTAGTAAAGTGAGGGTCGAGAGGATTAAAGGGGAGAACGAAGGTGGAAAGGATGAGTGCGGAATATCCTTTCGTCTAACGTCGTAAGTTGCGAAAACAAGGAGAAAGAGAGAGAGAGGGAGAAGGAGAAAGCGTCAATTGGAATAACAAAAGAGATCTCGGTTCCAGCGGCGAAAGTCAATGTAATTATACGAGGAACGTCAATGAGCGTTTGCCAGTAATAGACATTCCGTCCTTCCGCGCTTCTTTCCTCGACGTCGAACGACTACAGTCACATCGCGAGTCGGAATGTTGGTCTTATGTTTAAATTTGTAATTCTATGTCTCAATAGGAGGTAAGATGCCAAAGTAGATTTAATTCCAACGATATAATTTATTCTAAATACGATTATTCTAAATACTATATATATATATATACGGTATATTATTCGAGAAACTTTTGTAATAATGATGTCTTAAATTTTCGGTCTCGCCTTTTTCAGCGTCAAAATGTGTTACTTCGAAGTAGAATTAAAATTAAATCTATAGAATTAAAGATTGGAGGAAAGAGTTATTAAATAATAGTAGTGGCATCGTCAAAATGGGTTTTCACCGGTCGACGGGCTCGATTTGTTACAACTACCGCGTATGAAATATTACATAAGACCACTTCATCGATATATTATGCAGGAAGTGGGCACGAATAGGAAGCGTGGGTCGCCGCATTCTCGATAAATATCTCTCTCTTTCTCGAGTTCAGAGGCACCGATTACGACGACGTCCTTATTTTTAGACCCTGAAAGTCCCCGCCGGTGCTTCCTCGTTACGATCCGATAAACACAATGTGAAACGGAGGTGGATTAACAGCTGCCCTCGCTTTCTCCTTCATATTCTCGAGATACGGGCGTTTAAGGGACGGTTGACTTTACGAAGACGAAAATCGATGGCCAGACTCCCCCTCTCTCTCTCTCTCTCTCTCTCTTAGGTCGAATTAAAAGAGAGACCGGGCGGTTGAGAATTCTTTCGGGAGGGCGTAGGATCGCTCATCCTGGTGAGACTCGTTTACGCATTTAGTCAATATTTAAACAAGCTCGCGGCAATGTTTATGCGGCATGCCCTCGGGGCACAACCTCACCCCCCGTCGTCGCCGTTCACCACCTACCCCCAAAGGAACTCGTTATCGGAGTGTTTTAACAGGCACTCCCGCCTCTCGAGCTGCCTCGTCGACTAAATGACGAGGCCCTTGAAAAATTTGTCGCGCGCCTTTTGGCTAAGCGATTATTATTATTATTCCCCGCCCTTGGCGAAGTTCAGAATGCGGAAAATATGAGATCTGGCGCGCGAAGTCTTCGCTCTTGTATTCTTTTTCGTTTTTTTAATTTAGGACTTGCGCGGGCGCGTGTTTAGATTCAATCAATTTATGCTAATGTCCAAAGGCGGATCACAAAGACAGCGGTGGCAGAGCGCGGAGCAGCTTCGGAGGAGAGTAATATTGTGCTGTTTTATCGCGCACGAGTGCGCGGAGAAAACTATAAACTGAACATCGCGACGTTTCTCTCCTTGGTTTTGCGGGCGCGCGACGTGCCGGTGAACAATTCGGAAACTGAATATCAAAATGTCGCTTTTGGCTTCTCTTTCTCTCTCTCTCTCGCTCTTTTTTTTTTAAGTTTCTCAAATATATGAGTATTGGAATACGTGAATATTTGAAATTGAATATACGAATATCTCAAAGGGGTTTCTCTCACAAAGCATTCCCTCCACTTCTCTCTCTCTCTCTCTTTTTATTTACATTCATTTTTGTCGATCCTTTTTCACATGAATAAGAATTTAAGGTTCGATCTAAGTCTAACTTAGATTCGGTTATGGACTTAGTTTAGGATTTCGGCTCAGTTTAGATTTGAAAGTTTATATCAACAAATTTACAGCTGTCAATTCTTTCTGTTTTCCCTTAAGTTTTTCCTTATGTAACTTGAAGTTATTTTTTAATCCGCGCTCCACGGCGGGCCGCTTCATTCACTTCAGTTTTCTTTCGCTTTTCGCGCAATTATTTTTGTTGTATGTGATTTAGAATCAGCAGAATGTATTGTTATTTCTTTTCGACTCTACTGTGTATCTTGCTTGTCCTTAGGAAGCTTGTCCTAGGATGTAATAAACGCTGTTCTCTCTCTCTCGTCTCGTCTTGTCTAATGAAACTCCACGCCGATGGCGAGTTATTATCGGGACACCCCTTGTACGGGGCGGCGTGTACGTCGCGCGGCTCTTTGATCTACCTCGAAGGTCCGCGACTAATTAGAGGAAGGGGTTCGCCTGGTCGATCCATCCTGCTACGGCGGTGGCTCTTCAAAGGGAATCACCGACCGGCCTGCGAGGAATCGCTTCACGTCAGCCATACAACTTACTTGCAATCTTGGGCGGATTTATTCGCGCGACCACCTGTAGGATCGCCTTCCGGGCGATCTCTTGAAAGTCCTTCTTTTATTACTTTACGTACTGGCCTTTTTCGCCGGGGGACGGGAGGGAGGGAGAGAAGAGTCTCAGGTCCGTTCCTCAGTTGACTTAATTATGACGACTCCTTCTCGCTGCAAACGCGCCGGCGGACCGATCGATTTTTCAGCACGGACCACGAATAATATTTGACTGGCGGTGAAATCGTATCGAAGGGCGTTTTCCACAATTTGCTGAAAATCGAATATTCTCCCTTGCGAGAAGGTGACGGAGACCCTCCGAGTCCAGTTCTTGCAGTTTCAGCGGCGTTGTTTGCGTGATCGAGCGTTGTGTCACAGGAGGACCGGCCTGTCTCCGTTGACCAATCTCGGCTGCGCAAGCTCCCTCATCATTTCGTCCGATTGGTCGCGGGTAGACATCCGTCGCTGTATGATCGATTGACCAGGTTTCACGAGGCTGTAGCGGATGATATCAGTGCTGGACCATCAAAGAGGCACCGTTAGTTTCTTTTTCTTTTTTTTTTTGGATTGGATTATTCAGACCGTGTTTCGGCACTTCATCTTTCAAGCCAACCGCCGAGTCGCTTGCGATCGAGAAGTATTCATTCTTCATCACGCCTAACAATACGATGTAGAAATGATGGCTCGACTTTTTTACTCGGTTTCGCAAAAATTGTTCTTAAAGGGACAATTCGGGAGATAATCGCAAAGCAAAAGCGACGATGTACCTTCACAATTAAAAAGAAAAATAAAAAACCAAGAATCGTTAAAAAGCGAAATGTCGGCCCTCGAATTTAGTGCTTGAGGAAATCGGACATTTCATGCTTAATAAACCAATAACAGCGCCGCTTGCTCCGCCGAGCCACGTGTTTTCTTTCAACGCGCGATTCTCATCCAATCGTATCATGCGAGAGCGCAGCTTAACCGCTAATTTGGAAATTATGACGGACGATACTCTCCTCTTCGAGAGTTAATTAGAATTCCGCCAAAGCGGGCTACGAACGGAGTCGGCTGTTGCGGGAGAGTTAATTATTTAAAAGGCTACACGGACCCTCGAGAGATTCGCGGCCGACCCGCTCTACCCCCCACGGATCGTTGCAAATTTGGGGGGTGAATTCTACGAGGCACTGCTGAATATTACATGCCGGCCACCGCGCCGAACCGCCCCCGTGCACGAGGGAAAGAGAGAGAGAGGGGGAGAGATGTGGCCCCTTAGTCGATTTGTCCGTCGTAATAGAGATATAATTTCACAGGAAGGTCTCGAAAAGCACCGAATAAGAGACGCCTTTTCACACTCGGTCGACATCATTTTGGTATTAAAGTAAACGAGGTTGTTCCCGGTAGATTTTGATGGGCTGATTACAAGTCTGGCCCCGAAAATGTCGTATCACGTCGAGTTTCCGAGACATTCCTGCTTACTGCGTATGCACGTATATATTTAAACAATTTCACACAATCTTTTATATAATCTTTGGAAAATTGCATATAATCTTGAAACTTCGATATTTTCAAAATTCGAATATTCGGGTGTTGGAAATATTCGAAATTCCAGTGTCGAAGCCTCTGGAAGGAAAACACCAGCCGTATTAGTGACTTTTTTGTCTCTCCGATGTCTTCTAGAATTTCGAAAATTTCTCCTCTCTTTCGACGTATTTTCTCCGGAGGAAACTCCAACTGATCTGAGATTGCGATTTTCCGCGCGCGATTCTGCTGAAGGGAGAAAAACTACCGTTACAGACGAAACGCAAAGTGTGCGAGGCAAAAGCGAAAGAAGAAGAAGAAGAAGAACGCGCGGCGAACTGCCGTGACTCGGCGCGCTGCATTCAAGTTTCTACTACTCGAGCCCGCCCGACTGCGTCGGCCGTACGTTTCGCGCTTTCACTACTACCGATGTACACCCGCTCGCTCTCTCGCATCGACGACGTTTTCCCTTCGCTTCGCTCTTCACCGTGCTTTTCTTCCTTTTTCCCCCGGAAAACGTTGAAAGATTTCTCGCATCGAGCGCGCAGCACAGCCCCCCTCGCAGCTGCTTTATG